GTTTGGGCGCGGAAATGTTTGGGCGTGAAAATAAATAAAAATTTTTAAAGCAACTTTATCGAATTTTTTGCCAGCTTTTTTATCGTATTTAGGCTAGTTAAAGGCATAGTCGAAAGGACCCGAATTCCGAGTATAAGGCCTGTTCGCATAGGAATGCCACAGGGGATCTGGATATCCGAGGATTTCCCAGGGACCTTAGCCCCCCCCCCCATTATCTAACCCAATAACTGAATATCTCTATTAAATCTGATCTGTTTCTATCAAAAAGTCATCGAAAATTGAAATTTTGAAGCTAAGGACAATTAAAATCAAAATTGAGTTTAAATGCTCGATGAGGGCTGAGTACATTTTCCCCTGCTAATTTAAGTAGTCTTCTCCTATTTTAATGCCAAAATGTTATCAGCTTTAGTTGAAATGCCAAAAATTATGAAAATGAGGCAAAATGTCATTCTACTAATATATTTTTAAAAAATTTGGCTAAAGCCGGGGGAAATCACTTATATTATATTGCCGACGCCCAAACATCCCCGCGCCGAAAAATCCGCAAAATATTTTTAAAATTAATATTTTACAGATAAAGAGGATTAAATAAAAAAGAAGAATGTTTGTGGGGGATTTATTAAATATATAAAATAATAAATAAATATTTATATATTTAAATGTCTTTAACATTTATTCATTAAGTAAAAATGCCAGACGGATATATAAAACTTGTCCACCATTTAAAATTTCTCCTAATTTTGACATTTTTGGATGACGAAAAAAAAATTAAGAGTTTTTTTAAGTTTTAGAAAATGTTGGGGGTGGTAATTATGAAAAAAGAATCATTTGGGAATTAATTAAAATAAAAATTCAAAAAAAATTTTATTATAAAAAAGAATAAAATATTAGGCACTATCTGAAAGTAAGGGCGGCATCCAATTTTTTCCATATTCCTAAAAATATTTATTTTTCTTATATTTTTCTCTCTATTTTTGATTTGTGCCGTAAGGCTATAAACGCAGGAGGATTATTTTTCTTATAACTTGTGTGCGTGTTGCCCTGTGTGTCCGTGTTGTCCGGGACCGATGTGTGTCCGTGACCGTGTAGGTATGGCAACACAGACACACACGGACACATATCGGTCCCAGACAACACGGACACACACGGTCCAGGACAACACGGGCACACATCGGTCACACACACACGGACACAAGTTATAAGAAAAATAATTCTTTTGCGTTTATAGCCTTACGGCACAAATCAAAATTAGAGAGAAAAATATAAGAAAAGTAAATATTTTTAGGAATATGGAAAAAATTGGATGCCGCCCTTACTTTCAGATAGAGTCAAATATTATTTCAGAATTTATTGGGGTCAATAGATTAATGCTGACAGTTCCGGATATCCGGAAAAATTTTTTTTAAGTACAAATATGTACCTGTGATTGTCTTATAAATAAATAAAATAAATAAAATAAAGTAAAAATCACAAAATATGTAACAACAAAAATATTTTTTAAAAATAAATTTAAATTAATTTCTACACTTTTTGAAGCCAATAAAAAACAATTGAAGAAAAACACTAAAAAGACCACCACAACAAAAAGACATTCTCTTCAAGGCTAAAAAGAAAAAATAATTTAATTTGAAAATAATTTTAATTTGAAAATAATTTTAAATAATTTTTTTCCTCCCTCTCCCCAGAGAATTTTAATTAAATAAATAATAGAAAGATAAAATAAATGATTAATTTTTTTTAAAAAAAGCTGAGAAGAATTTAATAATTTTTAAAAAAAATTTATTAATTAAAATTTAGAAGTGCAAAAAAATATTTCTTTTAATTTTTAAATAAATAAACAGGTGAATAACCCAGAGCATCTTGTCTAGTAGCCTAAATAAACAACACCAAGCAGTAGAAATTTAAGGGAAAAAAGTGCTGGACTAGAGCTGGGCTATAGCTATTTCTTTCCTTTAGCTAGTGCAAAAGGTTAATCGGCGGCTGGGAGCGAACCAGCATCTTCAGTAGACCGGACTGATGTGTTATCAATTACACCACGCCGCCTACAGCCTTAGGAATTAAATAGCTATATATTTTACGTAATAAATTTAGATAGATAAAGCAAGCTTAACCAGAAAATTAGAAAAACAAAAAAAAATATATTCTAAAAAATAAATATATTTAAGAGAATTATTAAAATACAGTAAAAATAATTTCCGGAGAAAAAACAAAAGATCAAAGAATTAAATTTTAAATAAGGTTTCCCTACAATTTACATATACTAATATATAATTTTAATTAAATAAAATTAAAGAAACCAACTAAAAAAATATTCTTAAAAAAATTTTTTGAATAACAAAATTTGCAGGGGGGAATATTTTATATAAAATATTTAATTAAGTTAATCTTTATATTTTTTATAATAAAAATTAAATCTTCTTAAATTTATTAATAAAAAGAATTAATTAAATTTAAAAAAAATATTTTTTTATAGGGAAAACTTTTTAAAAAAAATTTTTTAATTAAAAAAATAATAATTATTATTTCCGGTATTAGTTAAGAAAAAAAAAATAAAATCAAAAATTAATTATAATAAAAAAAGAAATTTTTTTATAAAATTAATTAAATAGACTGAATTTGTATAGATAATTTTGTAGCTAATTAACAAGTCTGCAGAAAAAAAATTTTTGAAATTTTTTTTAAATTTGAAAATAAAAAAGAGAAGAAAATATTGTAAAAACAGAGGGGAATTAGCATTAAAGAAATAATTTTTATTTTTATTCGAATTTTCGAAAATTAAAAAATGGATCTGTATTATATCGGGTCTGTATCCAATAGGGATTCTAGTCATCCGACCTGGGAGTTTTTTAGAGATCCAAAGAAAATTTTTAAACCCCGAGTTCACATTTTTCTCAATTCAATCCATTTCTGGTGTTCACAAAAAAATTTTTGTTTTAATTAAAGACAGAGTTTAAAGAGAAATAAAGTTAAAACTAGAGACAGGACTGAGAATCTCGATCGAAAATCTCGCTTATCGACATCGAGAATTTTTCGAGATCTCGATACCGATTCTCGACGACGCTCCCTGTCCGGTCTCTATGTAGTTAAAACATACTATACATATAGGATATAACTTTGGGGTTAAAAAATTGTATCTTATAGTCTGGTACCCAGGCAGCTCGCCCAAGATAAATAAATTTTTTAATTTTTTTTCCTTCAAAAATTTTAAAAATCCTTACCAAAACAAAAATTTCTTTAGGCAAACAACTTGACATATAAATACTAACTTGTCTATTTACTACATCCAAATCATAATTTTTTGAATTATTTTCTATTAATTTAATTTGAGGTTGTGGAAATTTAATAAAGCCTGGAGATAGAGGAATTATTTGTTGAATAAAATTAAATTTAGTTCCATCAGGTAATAAAGCGAAAAAACCCTTTAAAAATAAAAATTAGAAAGAAAAAGTTTTTTGGAAAGGATTTTAGGGAGTTTAAGTTATGGACAAAAGAAACTCTTTTTAAGTAATTCAGACCTAGACTCGTATTATAGATGGTCAAATGACCCTGTCAACTAATCTACAGGTAATGGTTAGCCTTAGGATATTCTTATAGTATCATTACAAATGCTAGTTCATGGTTATTTAACAGGCAACCACGTTCTTATGGACGGGCCCGAGACTGGCCTCAATTGAAGGAAAAATTTCTACGAAGCCACAATCCCACGGTCCAATAGCCCACGGTCTACTTTTAAATTTAAAACAAAATCCTGGGACTAAAATAAAAAATCTAGACTAATATACAGTTGAGAATGAAGCCCATCACACGGTATTACGTCACTTTAATGAATTTTCATTAGAAAAATGGCATAAAATAGAGAAAAAACTAAACTAATTATTTGCCCCATATAAGTAATATAGAGACTTTGAATTTTTGGATATTTTGGATTTTTGAATCTTTGGACCAATAATGAGTAGTAAGTACCAGAAATCCTCCCGGCCAAAAATGGCATCCCCAATATCGGGAAATCGGGATCCCGGCCCGAAAAACGTCGGGAATTCCTTATTTTTTGGGAATCAGGACAACAAGACCTCTAGAGTAAGTACCTCTTTAATGCCAGAAAAAATAAATTGGTTATTATTTTGTTCAAAAAATATTTGAATAGGTAAAGGTTCTCCTCCTCCTCCTTCTGTTATTTTTCCAAGAGAATTCCATAAAGTAAAACAAATTTTAAAAGGATATCCAACTTGGAAAGGATAATTATCAACAGAATTGTTGTTGTTTTCGTTAATTAAATTAATTTGTAAAGAAATTTGTGAAGAATAAAAAGGAAGTTGTTTTATAGAAATTAATGAACTTGGTTCTAATGAATTTTGACTAGAAAAAAAAATAAATTTAATGCTAAAATCGCATCGTTAGAGTGACGAAATTTCGATTAAGCTCGTACCCTCTCCCCAAGTATTTTTGCCCATGTACCAAAAATGATGTAGACTTCCAAAAGAACGGTGTTACGGCAAATGCGGATGACAATTCCGGATTTAAAATTTATTAAAATTTGTAAAGAACATATAGCTATCTATGTAATTCTTAAAGCTGTGCGGCGTGGTGTAATGGCTAACACATCAGTCCGGACTACTTAAAATGCTGTTTCGTTCCCAGCCGCCGAATAACCTTTTGCACTAGCTAAAGGAAAGAAATAGCTATAGCCCAGCTGCTTTACTAATTTTCAAAAACTTTGAAATGAGCTCTTGTTTTTTAGTCCCAGCTGTCAGGTTCCGACCTCTGATGGTTTCCGAATCATTTCTAGACTGACTCGGCACTGAAACCTTAAAAATCCTAGATTTTTAAAAAAAATTTAAATCCGCAATCGTCGTCTGAAATTGTCGTACCGCCAACAGAACCACTTTTACCGTAAATATCCTAAAAGAGCCCTGAATTTTTCAATAATCCTCATCGAGTGAGCTTCTATTAGGGATGGGCTTCTATTAGGATGGTTACTGTCATGTTGAGAAAAAATATTTTTAACCCCCTTCCCACCTTCTCCATTCTACAATAACTTCCCCAATAGAAGATTGTTTTGAATCTTCTCCAATAATTTCAGGTAATATTTCAACATAAACATCATTTTTAAATAAATTGGAATTATTTTTTTCATCTGATATAATTCCCAATTTTTTATATTGTTCATTGAATATTTGAGAGAATGGAGGATATTCACATATTTTTGTTAAATTATCGTCCTAAAAATTAAGAAAAAAATTTTTTTGAGAATTTTCACTACAATTTTCAAAAAGTTGTACCCTATAATGAGCGTATCTTATATTGAATGTATTATATAATGAGAGTAACTAAAACAGAGTGTATTCACTTGGGGTATCGCTTAGACAGCTCCCTCCCTTTCCAAAGTCAATATTTCTAAAAACATTGAGATTATCTAAAACAAAGTGTATTCACTTGGGTTGTCCGAAATTGTCATACCGCCCTCCCCCACCCGTCAGAAAACCCTAATCTAAACAAATCCAACTAAGCCGGCGTATTAATTCTGAGAGTGTATCTTTCAACTTGGGTTGTTCCCCGTCTCCGTAAGTCGGGGAATTTGATAGATTTTTTGAAAATTCCCCGTTCCCCTTCCGTAGCGCTGTTTCTCCGCTAAGTGGAAAACCCAACTCTCAACAGATTCAACCGTATTTTTAAAAAATCTCTACTACCAAATTCCATTTAATATTCAATATTTCAATACCATCCAAATGATCTATTAAAAGAGACAGTCTATAACGTTGTCCACAAATAAAATATTGAGGTATTTCTCCCTTAATTTTTAAATTTTAAAATATTTTTAAAATTCTACAAACATTTTCAGAATAAATTGAAACGTCTCCAGTAAAAGGTGTTAAACAAGAAACATAAAAATCGTGTATAGACTCAACTGGTTCTCCATCAGAAAAGAGAAAGGCTGATATCTAAAAGAGGAGAAATAAAAACAGAAAAGAAAAATGTCTGTTCCGGAAAGTGTCTCTCTCTCTAAACACACACTCTCTCTCTCGCTGTATAAAAACAATTCCGGAAAATTCTGATTAGACACATAAAGAAATATTTCCGGAAAAAGAGAGAACAAAAAAGAATTTAGAGGAGTAACAGCTGAGTATTTTTTCCTCATTATCAGTCAAATACCTTATCTGTTCCGGAAAATGTCTCTCTCAAAAACACACACTCTCTCGCTTCTATCAACACTTCCGGAAAATTCAGATTAGAAACAAAACACATTTTCCGGAAAAGAGAGAGAACAAAAAAAGCAGTTTAGAGGAGCAACAGTTAAGTCCTTCCCCAATATCAGCCAAAATATGTACCTTAATATTTAGTGCAACACAATTGTTAGATTTTGATTGTAATCGGACAGAGAAGTCAACCTTAAATTTGGAAAAAAAATTATTAAAAATAAGTTCCTTTGTACGAGAAAAAATTTTTTATTTCAGACTCTAATGACACACTTAATAATATACAATTCTCCCCTTCACCCTTAATTTCTCCTTTCTTTTATTTCCTCTTCTCTTTTATTTCTTTTATTTTTCTCTCTGCACATACACTCTACTACCTATTTCTCTTTAATAAACAAACGGAACAACTAGACTAGACAAACAGAGAAAAGAAATAGTAAACAAAATTCTCTTTTAACTCTATAACTCTTTTACAAATTATCCAAAACTTTAAAAAATAAATTAAAGTGTTCAGCCGATTTTTCAGTTTTAATTGGGACTGTACTTCTCAGGATCATTTCTGTAGTACGTATTCCTTTGCGGAGACGCAAACTGCTTCACTAAGCACCCTCGATGAAGAGGTTAGGCGTTGCCCCCTGAGCGTGAAGCTTGTTGGGGCGGTGCCAAATTTTTGGATGCCCTGACGTTGAAGACCGTCAGCTGGCCCCTTTTGGGGTCGGCTATGGGGGCAACGTCTCTGAGCGGGTGCAATTTTTTCATTGAAATATTAGGAGTTCAGTGTAAATTTTACCGATTTTTCTTTGGCCAAAAATTCGGCAATTTCTTGATTAAAAATAGGCACAAAAGTGTATCCATGGACTGCGTCATTTAAATTTAGTGTATTTAAAATTGGTGCTGAACCAAATTTTTGTTGAACTATTTTTCTTTGTTGTTGAATATTTGAGTCTTCTTCACAATAAACTTTTTGACAAATAATGCTTAAAAAGAGAATTACTAAGCAAAAATTTTTCAAATATTTCAAACCTAACATTATTCAAATATTCACAATCTTCCAAATTATTTAGTAATGAAAAACCAATTTCAATTGATTCGTCTATATACAAATTTATTTTGTTAGGAGGACCGATGATAGATAATTTCTTCTGGCGAGGGATAACTCTAAAAATTAATTTTAAGAAAAAAATGTTTGGGTACTTATGAAGATGGAGGTGCCCTTTCTGCGGACTTTTTTTTGCGGACTTTTTTTCCCTTATTCAAATGTTTTACTTGTAGCAACTAACTGTCAATGGCCCTCCCCCCTATTATTTTTCTTACCTAAGCTTGTACACAATGGTCAGATTTTCTTCTTCCTCTCCTTCCTTCTATTTGCCCTGTGACATATTCAAACAAGAGACATTGATAAAGAGAAGATTAATTTTATAGGTTAGAAAAATAATTGGGGGTGGGGGGACAAGGTTTGGAATTTAGGGACAGGGTTTGGAATCTAGTTAAAGTAAAATGTTTAATTGATTGAAACATTTTTTACGTTTATAATGTTTAAATTAATTGTGAACAGATATTTTTCAAATTGGCATAAGAATTAGCCTTTAACAGTTTGTTGCTACAAGCAAAACTTGCTGCAAGCAAGACAACCAAAACATTAAAAAAGAAAAATTTAAAGGAAAGGAAAAGTCCGCAAAAAAAGTCCGCAGAAAGGGCACCTCCATCTTCAGAAGTACCAATGTTTGAAGTAGGGTATCCATAAAAGTGAGGGAAACAAGGAAAGAGATAAATTTCAAATCAACGATCAAAAAGGAGAGTAAAAATTTTGGAAAGTATCTTAGATACTAGTGATAACTGAGAACTTTTCCGGAACCTATACCGGGACTGTGGTTTAGTCTAGATCTGGATTTTGGCTCTAATGCAGTTTAACGGTTGCTGGGTTCACTCTAGTAACATAATCACATTCCTTCTTTCGATTTTCAGCCTTGAACTGCCGACCTACCCCCGTAGCCCACAAAAATTTTATTGGACTCATAAACTGCAGTGGAGCATGAATTTTTTATTCAGGACCGGAACCATATATTTTTCAGGCAAAATGAAACCTGACCAAAAAAGTTTTTTTGGAATTCTAGTAGCTAATCAGGGATGGGACAATTTACCCAATAACAGGGCTTTCCATAGAAAACCTCAATACAAAAAGAAATTTGAAATCCGGCCAGAAACCTTCCCTGTTTTTTTCTCAATCCGCCCCAGCCTCAATTATACCTGATAAACGAATTTTCAATCGGATAGCAAGAATTATCAACTAACGATTGAGTTGATTTAACATTTTCCCAAATTAAACATCCATTGGCTAGTCTAACAGCAAAGCTGCGAATCTTTAAAAGAAAAAATTTCCTCTAACATATTTTCCATTTACCCACACAAATATCCAAATAAATATTTTTATTTCCAGAAGAAGGACTTTGTGTCCGATTTTGTTGTTTATTTAAATTTTCTTCAAAAAATTCTTTCCCAATTTTTGGCTTTAAAATAAAAAGGAGAGCAATTTCTTGATTTGGATTTAATAAAATTGAGGAGGAATTGCTCTCTTTATTATCACAATTAATTAGACTCCAATTATCTAAAGTAATTAATGTTTTTCCACTAATCGAGGAAATTTGTTCCAAATAAATTGTACAATTGTTAAGGGTAAGTGACAAACAAGAATTGTTTTTAAGAAGAACCTGGGAAAGAAAAAATTTAGAAATATATAGGTAGACCTTAGAGTTGTACTCGGACCCTGTACCAAGACTCAGTTCGCGAACGATTTTTTCACAATTCTCCCCGACTCGAACCCCGCCCCGAAAAAAGTGAAAACCCCGTTCTCCGACCCGAGTACACCAAATGAATTGATTTAGGATCGGTAAATTGTAAAGAAGCAGGTTATGAATGCTAAACTGGAATCTATAGGTTTATCGAGGGAGGCGAATTTATAGGGATTAGAAGAGATATTGTGGATTTGAGTGATAAAGAGGGATATCGGGGAATTTGTGTTGGATTGTAAGGTCATCGAGGGAGGCGAACTTGGAGGGATTACAAGAGATATTGTGGATTTGGGGGACTAATTGTAAGAGGGATATCGGGGATTTTGTCGAATATCGAAAGATATGGGGGATTAGGGGGTATTGGAGATTGGGAGTATATTTGGAGATTGGGGGATATTGAGAGATTAGAAGAATTTGGGAAAGATATTGAGGCATTTTGAGGATTAAGAGGGGTTTGGGGGATAGTGAGGAGAATATTAATTTAGGTATACCTCAATAGGTAAAGAATCTCCAGAACGTATATTTAAATATTTATTTTCATTTTCTTCCTCAAATTCTGTTGTTTTGTTGATATTAACAGGCAAAAAACGTATTTTACAATTCAAAAAAGAATAATTCCCCAATTGACTCAATTCTAGTTTAAATAAATTTTGCTGTCTCCTTACTTCATTAACTGATAAATTTTGTTCCCATTGGGGACGAATAGAACAGATCTGAAAATTTAGAAAAAAATTGTGATCATAAAAGCTTATACGTATTAGAACAATTAAGGTGAGAGCAAGGGCGTAGCTAAGGGGCTTCTAGGGCTAAAGCCCACCCCCCCCCCATTCCCCCCGGAATGAGTAAAAGGGAAAAATTTGAGGAGGGGCTTGAAGCAAACTCCAAAATTTTGGCCCCCCCCCCTCAAATCGAGTCCTTGGGTAAGAGCCAAATTATGGAGAAAAAATTGAAATTGTCTTAGAATTTTTTAAAAATTCGAAAAAAATTGTCCTCGGATATCCCTAACCAAAAGGAAGCAAAACCAAAAAATTTCAAAAATTCAGAATTTCTAAGAACCAAAACGAAAAAAACATTTTCTTGGTTAAATTCGACCGCTCCAAAAGTCGAAAACTATGGAACCCCTATAACGTTTCGATTTAGGGGTCGGAGCCAAAAAAAGCCTGAAACTATAATAGATTTTCGACTACGCTCTAAACGATCGTAGAATTTTTATTTAAAAATTTTTACTGAAAGTTCGGAAGGTTCCCTTGTAAGTCTTTTCCCTTATAGCCTAAAATATGTAAATAAAAAATAATAAAAACCTCTTCTTCATAAAACGGAAAATTAGGTAAAATAGGAAAAGGTATAGAAGAATGACCAGAAAAATAATTTTGAGCATCTTCGAGTAAATTAGGTTCTATTTGAGAAGATAAATTTGTCATTTCTGAATGAAGTAATTGAACCTTTAAAAAGAAATTTTCTAAAAAAATTCTATAAATAACTAACTATAGCCAAAATCCACTCATTAATATTTAAAGAGCAATAAGCACAATTAGCCATTAATACAAGTACATTACGCAAAAGTGAATAAAATGAAGATGTTCGAAGTTCTGTTGAAACGTGTTGGAGAATCTGAAAGAAAATTTTTTGGAAATTTGGGGAAAAAATATTTTAGCAAGAAAACTTATTTCTCCATCACCTCCCTCGATTTATGAAAACGATGAATTACTGATTTTGAGAATTCCTTGTCTCCGATACTCGTAAATTCTGTAATCTTCGGTCAACGGGATCCCAGTTGCAGATAGTTGAACTGCGTACTAAATATAGCAACCAGAGATCCTGCTATCCCGATTTCCGAAAATCGGGAATTCCCGAGAATTTTTTGGGTCGGGATAACAATTTTCCGAAAGCAAGAATTTTTTTGTCGCCAGGATCCCTGATTAGGGTTGCCGTTTTCGGTTCGAGCCGACGTTCGGTGCATATTTTTCGAGCTTGGTTTTTTTCGATTCGGTTCGTTTTCGAGCTGAAAAGCCTCGGCTCGCTCGATCTTTCGAGTTTCGGGTCGAGCGAGCTGGCAACCCTATCTCTGATGGCAACCTCTCCCCAGCTAAATTCGGTCCCAGAAGATAAAGTGTTATAAAAAAGGGGTACTTATCGGTTATCTCCCCACACATTATTTTCATTCTATTTCCCCTTCTTCTTCTTCCCATAAGTTAAAAAAATGTCACAGGCAAATAATGGTAACGGTTAAGTCAATTTAAAAATACATACCTACCGTAAATACTCTAATATAAACCCATCCAAGAAGACACATTGAAAAATATAAGCCCAGTAATAGAAGCCAGTCAGGGTGACCCTTTGGAAAATAAAAGCCCATGGCTTATATTAGAGTATTTACGGTATATAGACTTTTGGGAAGAAGGAGAAGAGGTAAAACAGGGAAACAAAATGTGGCATTTTTGTAACTTATGGGAAGAAGGAGAAATAAAAGTAAAATAATGTGTGGGGAGATAACCGATAAGTACCAAAAAAGGTTCTCAATTTTATTTAAATTCCCTTTTCAAAAAATTCTCTAAAAAACCTGTAAAGAATTCCCAAATTGTTTAAAACAAATATATTCTTCGGCAATATTTAAATAAGACAAAGTCGCAAATCTTTTACAATGATAACGTTTAAATTGGCCAATTGCGGCAGAAAACAGTTGAATTGATTGGGAATAATTCTCTTGAATATTTTGCTTTAAAAGACAAAAGTTTTATTATAGAATTAAAAAAACTTCAAGAAAAATTTTGGCGGCGTGTTCCACCAATTGTAAATTTCCTTTCATTTCAGCCAAAATTGTTTCATTATTCAACCATGGTCTGTGGCCAAAATAAATTGTTGGGGCGTTTAAATCTTTAAAGAAAAAATTTAGGGAAATTCAGCACTCGATCCTATTCGAATCTTCTACAATTTTTGGATTATTTCCTAAACAGATACAGAAGAATCGAGCTAGAAAAATGGGGTTCCCGGTCAAGGAAGAATGATATTGCTGGGTTCAAATTAGGGACAGGCGCGGGACGGGATCCCGACGGTATTTTCCGGCATCCCGGAATCTCGGGATCTTTCGGCCCCAGGATTTTTTGGGATTTATCCCTCGGGATTCCGTCCCGGAATCGAATTAGAAAAAAATCCCGACTCGGGATTGCTAGTCTCTAGTTCAAATGACTTGATAATGGATAAAAATATTCCCCCAAGGTTCCCGCTTTAAACATAAAATTTGATTAAATTAATTTTAAATGGGAAAGTTAAAATATAGTAAACGGGTAATTTTATATGGAGCAAAAATAATGACTCAAAAATTTTTTATCGGATCATATCTCTCTTATAAACAATTACACCCCTTAAGTCATTACTAGGGATCGGATTTGTATTGAAATATATTTTTTTTTCCTGAATATATTATGTTGAGAAAAGCCCAAATATGCCATTAGTTTTGCGATATTGTGATTTTGAACGAAGTTACATTTCAATATATTTCAATATTTTGCCAATTTCCCCGTTATTTCAATATTTCGCGCTTTTTTCAAATTATTTCAATATTTTTGCATATTTTTACCAAAATTTTGGGATTTTTCATAAATTTTAGGAAAAAAGTGAAGAAATCTAGACGTTTGACAACCAAAATTCTCAAAATTTTCGCCTGCGGCGCTGAAAAGGGGATATTATGTACTATTATTCACTACAGTGCCGTTGACTTCCGATAATTATACGATGGAATGGCGACCAGCCCTTATTTGAAAGTCGCCCTCCCCCAAATTTCTCAATTAACAAAAACTCGGAATAAGTAACTGAACAAAAATCCCCATAAAGGCCGTCCCAAATTGTTGTTCCGCCTTCAAATGTCCCACTGATCAAAACCCTCAAAATGACATATTGAGCAAAACCCAAAAGGTAACAACATACTTTGCCAATCTCAAAATGTCTGAGAGTGTAAAAATACTCATTTCGTGTCGAACTATAAAGCTGATGTGCAATTTTAAGAATGAGATAAATTTTTTTGTTAAATTTCAACTTTTTTTTGGGGTTTTGCTAGTGAATAAACGATGATTTATTTCAATATTTCGCTTATTTCTGCCATTTTTTGTCAATATTTTGCCATTTTATTTCAATATTTTATGGCCATATTTTCCGATTTTATTTCAATATAAATCCGATCCCTAGTCATTACTTTCACACCCCACTGTGTAAAAAAAATTTTTTTAATAAAAAAATAAAAAAAACTTTTTTAATTTAAAAATAAAAACCTAAATTAATAGAACATGGCTGTCTTTGTTGTAAAGCATTTTTTGTTTTTAATTGTCGAATTAAAGAATTTGCCTTTTTCAAATGAGAAGCAGCTTCTTCTAAGAAACGTCCAGGATTTTGAGAGGCATAAGCAGCTACTCCATTTGAGACAGCAAAATTAAAAAGATCGGCAAAAAGGCGATTCTGTTGGGGAGAATTTAATAATTTTGAGTAATAAATAAAAGAAATTTTAATAAATAAAAATACGGAAAAAAATTTTTTGTCCTTAATAGAGTGGTCGGTTTCAGCAAATTCTTCGGTTAACCGAAACCGAAAAATCTTCGGTTTTCCGGTCGGTACGATTTGAAACCGAGAACCTCAGTCCTTTAAAAAATTTAATTTTTGCCTATTAATTGCTTTTGACAATTCTTTAATCTTAAAGAGAAAATAGAAAAGGCAAAGAGAAGGGAAGGAGGAAAGGAGGGCACAAAATATGGAGGCATATAATACGAGAGTACCGAAATATTTTTAAATAAAATATATTTTTTAAAATATTATCAAAAATAAAATATTCTTAATAATCCTAAAAAACAAAAAAAAATTTAAAGAAAACCTGTTGAGATTTCCACAACTCAAATTCAATAATTGCCAATTCTTTACTTGGATAATTCCCCATTTGTCGATTGAAAAAATTACTGGAATGTTTTCTAAATTGATTGAGGGCTTCTAATGGGCTATTCAAAATAAAATTTAATTCACAAATCTGTGAGAAAAATTTTGGAAAAATTTTTAATTTAAAAAAACCTTATAATTTAAAAATCCAGCAATATTTATCAATTCGTAAATAAATAATTCTAACATTTCCAAATCTGCAGCTATTTGATATGCTTGTTTATAATATCTTTAAATATAAAAAAATTTTTTAAATCAAATGGGGGTCAGGGAAGAAAAGCCAAAAATTGGCAATAGGTTATCGACCCTGCTCTATACAATGGTGCAAAAAATATACAAAAATTTTTCTATACAGTTAAAAATGTCTTCTAGTAAATTTAATATTTTTCACGGGAAAGAAAGATGGAATTCAAACCAAAAAAATGGAATTTTCTAAATTTAATGGACAACTCCAATTTAAAGAAAACATTTCTGTTAAAATAATATCCAATATTTCCAAAATAAGAATGGGCCAGATTGCTTGTGAGAAAGAGATTGGGTAGTACAAGATCGGATTTTCAAAAGGTTCTCTGACCGGGTATAGGATAACCCGGCCATCTCTGTTGCAAACATGAAAAAGATATCTAGAATGGGGTCTTTAGACATGGGTCTACACATAAATTTAATGTATTTTATTTTTATTATTCGAAAATAGAATTTCTAATATATTTAGAAATGTGCTGGGTTCATTTTTGGACTTTTTTATGTTTAAAAAAATATTTTTTAAAAAACCTTAGCGAAGAATGTCTATCTTCTCTAAGTTCTGAAATAAATGCCAATTTAAATTGTTGTCTTAACAGGACTTGTTGGTCATTATTTGGAACACTACTAGCTCTAATCTTTTTGAAATAGGCTTGGTAAGCTTCCTGAAAAAAATTTTTTTTTAATTTTTTAAGCCTAAAAATTCCGAGAAAAAAATTTCCCAAAAATTTTTTTCAAAAAAAAGAACCTGAGCAATCTGATAAAAAGCAATTTCCAACCGAACAATACATTCTGCCGTAGCTTTTTTGTCCGTCAAAAGAGGAAAAACATAAAATTGCCTCGTCGATATTTTACAAAATTGGCAAATTTCAATTGCTTTTTCTGTGGCTATAGAGTCGTCGACTGTTGTTTTAGCTTTTTGAATTAATACTAAAGCTAGTTTTGTCTCTAATTGGCCAATTGATTGTCTAGAAATTTTGAAAATTTTTTTTGAATTAAAATTTTTAAAAATGGAAAAATTGAGAATTCACAGGTAAAAAAATTTTCAGAAAATTTCAAAAATTTTTGAAGATACCCAAAAGGAAAAGAAAATTTTTTATTTAAAAATATTTAGCTAAGAAAAAAATTAAAAAATTTTTTTTGATTTTTTGGGGATACTCTTTAAGAGAAAAATCTTAATTTCGTAGGGAAAACAAGAAACAATTTACAGAAAAAACACATGAAGAGAATTTTTCTGCTAAAAATTATTTAAGCCCACCCAAAAATTTCCAAATATTAATTAAAATTTAAAACCAAAATTTTAATTTAACCTCAAAACATTAAGCCTCGACTCGCATTCATTTTTCTGTTGTAGCCACAAGTCGCTGTCCCAATCCAAATCAATAAACAAAACAATTAAAGCCGGCCTTTCATCCAAATATTTGTATTGCCAATTATATTTAATTATTCCGCGAGTTTTGTTTTTAATTGAAATTGAGTCGTTTGGATGGGTCTAAAAAATAAATATTTTATTTCTTAAATAAATTAGAAAAATTGAAAATTTTTTAAAAGAAATTTGGTCTATATAAAACCAAAAATTAAGATGGTGTATTATTCAAAATCAAAAAAAAATGAAACAGGAAAATATTTGGGGAAAATATTTGATGAGAAAAATTATTCAAAAATCCGGTAAAAAATAAATCTTGTAAATCCCCCAAATCTGAAAAGTCAAAAAAGTGAGGGAAAATAAAATTTTGAACTAAAAACAAAGAAAAATTCTAAGAAAAAATCACCCGAAAAAATAAAAATTCAATGGTTTTCGAATTTAGTTTATCAAATTTTAATAAAAAAATATTATTGAAGGAACCACTAAAAAGGATTGAAGAAAAAAATAAAAAAATGGCCAGAAAAAAATGAAAAATGAAGGGGAGCGAATTCCAATCTATTACCCTTTTATTTAATTAAAAAAATTTCTCAAACCTTTTTAGAATTGTTCCTCTTAAAAAAATCATCTCCATAATTAAGAATTTTATATTGGCATTGAACTGATCTTTCCCTTTTTAAATCTGTAAAAGCATTGAAAATAGCTTCATGATGTGGACATTTGCCGTTTAATTCAAGTCCATTAAAAAATATTAAACCGCGAAGACAATTATTAATTAAACGGGAATCAATTTCTTTTGGTTCCATCTGAAAATTAAAAGAAAAAATTTGTTTAAAAGCCGTTAAAAAGCTCGAAAGCCTAAAAATTAAAGTCTAAAAATTGGATGCGACCAGAATTGCCAATAAATGGCCATTAAAGCGCCAATAATTTAAATATATATAATTTGTGTTTTGAATAAAAATTATTTTTGTTATTAAATTACAATTTTGTAAATAGTTAAAAAATAAAGTCAGCTAATTATTTATTCAAAAAAAATAAATTACAATTTACATAAACTTGTTTTTTCAGTCAAGAAATTAAACAATAAACGAACACGATTCACTTAGAAAATATTGAAACAGAAAAAAACTATAACATTTTAGTACAACCTAAAAATCCTTTGATCACAGGTTTAGAAAACTAAATTTTTAAAACATAGTAAAAATTGGGACACGCCAAGTACTTGCGTGATTTATAAAGGCAATCAAGAATTAAACAAAAAATTTGTTTTAGTAAATAATTTGTATCATTTAGTTAAAAGTTCACAAATAAACAGAAACAAAGAAGCCCAATAAGGCCTAACTTCTTCAAATTCAACAGGTCTATCACCATCATTAGAAAGCGCCAAAGCAATTTGCAATTGCATTTCCTTCTCACCCAAAGAGGAAGGCCTAGCCTCTTCAAATCCACCATTAGAATCAATTGTTCGTCTGCATCTTGTCCCAGCTCTTCTAGTTCCATCATAGGGAATTAGGAAAGTAAAACGTTCTTGAGCTAACAAAAAACGAGTTCTTTCATATTTCAGTTTTTCATCGTTAGTTAGAAGATCAACAATTTTTTCTGCTTTTTCTCGGACGAGAAATCCAAATTCACGATTTCTTTGATCACGATATTGAAAATCCTAAATATTTTATTGAAATATTGGTTTAAAAAGCAAAGAAAAATAATTAAGTTAAAAAAATAATCGAGAACGCCATTGACTTTAAATTTAAGTTAAGAATCAGGAAATTAGTAATGCCCCAAACTTGATTGTTGGAGGGGAGAGGGTCTAGAATAAAATTAAATTTTAAGTCTAAACCCCTAAATAAAAAACCTTTAATGTCTTAATAAAAGATAAATTCTCTTTGCATTCTTGTGCAACTCGTTCACTTCCACCTCCAATTAAATAGTAAAGGAGAACCGTACTTTTGTAGACCTAAATTTTTAAAAATAATAAACAAAAAATCAATCTAAAATTTACATGTCTCCAGTTCTTTCCTTGGTCATTCAGCCTTTTCCAAATTATCGGCATTATTTCATGAAATTGAGTTATATCATGTGTCATATCAGCAATTTCTGACATTAATGCTGTTGGAGGCCGCCATGGATAATCGCTATTGCTATAATTTATTCAACAAAATTGAAACAATTTTTAAACAATACCTCGTGGCCTCTCGCACTTTAACTTGTGCAATTGTATACCTCAAGGCTACATTTTTCGCCCGTCTGCGAACCTTTAATACTAAGGGCATTTTGAATTAAAAGTCAGGTTATCTGATAGAAGAATAATGGTAAATGACCAGTTGACTCCTCTGCCTTCTTCTCTCTTTGCAACACTTTTTCACATTTTTCCGTCTGGAGAGGCGCTCGTATTTTTCCTTATCAGCTATAATATGAAAGGAAAAGATGAAAATAGTCAAAAGTGATTAATAATAAAGTGAAAAAATATTTATTTTATAAATGATCAAAGATTAGCGATCATTAGAAGTTAAATTAACCGTTGATCTTTTTTCCCTCAAAATGGTCAGTTACTCAAAAATTTCAAAATGGTCTTTCAAGGTCAAGTGCTCATTTTATATTGAATTTTATTTTCATCAACAGCGTCGCAGGCGAAAATTTTAAGAATTTTTTCCAGATACGAATAATTAAGATTTGTAAACTTGAGAATGCTTGATTGCTACTTTTTTCTTTTTCAGGTTTTGCAACGGCTAAATTATTTTCTAAAAAAATCAAAATGTCACGGGTATTGTGGGTTGTTCGCCATGCAGAACGTGAAGACAACATTAATTCAAATTGGAGAAAAACTGCAAATCCTCACAAGCTTAAATCGGATAACAGTCCATTGTCTTCTAGAGGACATCAACAAGCAAAAGAATTGGCTGCGAGGTTTGAAAATTTTTTTGACTGGCAAAACACCCCAGAGTCGTGAGATATGCTTAAACAGCATTTCGACTTTAAAAAATTTTTTTAGAAAATTTTAATCAATTTAGATTTGCAAATGTTCATGTCGATCACATTTTTGCTTCTCCATTCGAACGGACAGTGGAAACTGCAACAGCTATAGCTAGCGAAATTAAAATTCCAATTAAATTAGAGCCTGGATTGTGTGAGGTAATTTTACTTGGAAAGATTTTCCTAAAAAATTTTCTAGGCTTTATATATGTGTGAAGAGCCTCCTAGTTTTGAAGAGCCAGAAGCGTTAAAGAACCGATTTAATCTAATTGACACTTCCTACAAACCAATATTCAAAAAGCCAATGCCTAAAGAGGGAATGGGGGATAGTGCTTGTGTTGGTCGTCTTCAGAAAACAATAGAAGGAATATGTGAGAAATGCGAGGATGCTAGTTAGTTTTATCATTTTTAATAGTGAATGGCAAAATCGAGTTTTTTTTGGGTTCTCCCATATTGGGGTTATACTTAAAAAAATTTCTGAATTTTTTGCTCCCTTGGGTTGATTCCCGCAAATCATAAAAAGTGTGGCATTGTGAGCGGGGTCTCGCAAAATCCTGCGCGAGATCTCGTTCCGCGCTGATTACTAATTTTTCGCGGTCTAATATTGTCCCCAATGGTCTATTAAAATCTAAAATCCCACCCTTTGGCGGTAGTCAGGCCCGAAGTCTTATAAAGGATTTTCCTGCCGCCCCTTTAAAAAACTCAAAATTTTCAGAATCAATTGTTCTTGTATCTCACGCCTCTCCAATTGGCGCTATTCACGAAGTATTAGTTAACGAATGGACTTATGTTGGCCAAGCAACTGTTACCAAGTTTGTTGAAACCGAAAAAGGGTCAAACCAGTTTTGTTTGGAATACTCTGCTAATGCTGATCATCTTTCTAATAAATCAAATTTAAGGCCATACTAAATTGTGAAGATATTTTAAGTAAATGTTTAGAGCTTCTGTCAATTGTTAATATAATATATTAGTGGGTTGCAATAAATATTAGAATCTGTTAAGTTTGTTTATTAAATTTTAGATAATTTTCATTTCGAATTAAGTAAGCCAAGTGAACCAGGATTTGAGGTTAAATCAAACATGGGCTTATAAAGTGATTTGTATAGCCTCTCTAAAAAAGTTTTGTTTAAAGTTATGTAAGGCACTCGTACATACACGCTGGATAATTTATTATCCCGTTCCCAGTGAAAAAAGTTTTCGGCCTCCTAAGGCTTTTGACCAGTGTTAGTATTTACTTGGCACCTAATTTGTAAGGATATTAAATTAAAAATTTGAATTTTTCTAAATATTAAAAAATTTATTGGGAAGTATTTAAGTGATAATGATTAAAAAAGTAAAGTAGTTACATACTCGTTCTTAGATAACTCGCGGATAAGTTTAAGTATCCAAGTTACCCCGCCAAAACTTTTAAATTTAATTTCCGTTTGGATATTAAAGAATACCCGCGAGAAACAAAATACATGCATTTTTAGGTTTAAACAAACCAAATTTTTATATTTTATTATTTATTTAAAGTTAAATCGCACAAGAGTTCATTCGAATCGCCTGGCATAGGAAGCACAGAAATACAATAGAATCGAGTGTCAATAGGCAAATTATAACTGTAAAATAGGGTAGTAATTAAAAAAATAAAATTCAAATAGGAATTCCCAAAATCTAGATAAATTTCCCTTTAATCCCCCAAATAAAATTTCAAGGGAATTTCCGAGAGAATACCATTCATTATCCCCTGTAATACCTAAAATGTCCAGTCCCTAAAATCTTACATTAAATTTCCCTTTCCTTTAATTCCCCAAATTCCATTTTAAAAATCACCGATTTGTAGTTTTTCTAATTTGACAAAGCAAAATAGTTTCCACCAAAACAAATGCCCATTTTCGATTTGAAGTATTATTAGAAGACAATTCACTTTTTGTGGTAATACTTTCCTTCAATTCATCTTTACTTTCTTGTTGTGATTCACCAGTTATTTTTTCAAGTCCTACCCGTTTTAGACAATTTTCTTTTACAATATATGGGAGAAGTTTGTGGTTTGAACTTTAAGAAATATTTTTAAAAATTTAACTTAAAAATGGTATTATCGCATTACATGTCTTTCCCTCCTTTCTTTATTTTCTTTTATTCTAAAAATTATAAATGGTCAACAGTTAGTAAAGGAATTTTCGACTTCCCTCCAACCAATCTTCAACTAAAATTTAATAAATTTCTTTCCAGTTTGTGGAAGTGTGGGTACTTTTCCGTTTTGTCACACCTCTCTATATTAATGCTCAAAATATTATATTCATATAGGGTGATAAATGTTTTTTCGATATTCGAGGCGTATATCTCGCTTCACAAACATCTTCGGAAAAATGAGGGTACCGTTCGAATCAGCACCTTTTATTACCCCATATATGTCATTTTGAGCATTAATATAGGGGGTGTGCAAAACGGAAAGGTATTGAAGAGTAAATAAGGACGTTCCCACTTTGTCCTTATAATTCAAACCCTTTAATTCTAACTTTGACCATTAAGGGCAATTGATCATTTGTAATTTTTAAAGGAGAAAAAATATAGGGAGAAACTAACGCAATAAAACCAAAAAATTTCTATACCAATGTGCAACAAAGGCGCCCATCTTCTCATTCCATACAATCAAAGCACCAACCCCTTCGATTATCTAAAAATTAATTAATGACTCAAAATTCCTCAGAAGAATTTAAAAAAACCTCTCCAAGTGATACAATAAAGTTCATATCATTTTTACGAATAATTGTTTGTACTCTACGGTTTTGCAGTTGAATAGTTCGTGATATTTCATTTTGGGTTACATCACTCATTTTTGGTTTAATTGTTTCGTCTTTAACATCAATAAATGAGGCTGTTACTGAAGAATGTATAACATTGTCTTGTGATTCTAAATTTAAAAAATATAAATTATTAAAAGTTGAATTTCACACATTTCACGCCCCGATAGTATTTATAACGAGAAAAATAGAAACGTTAAACTCCCGAGTGTGTCCAGTTGGGGTCAGGCACTTATAGAAATTGGAAAAATAAATTATCAAAAATCTTTAGCACTAAATATTTAGGAAGAACTCTGGCTTCTTGACTAGCTGAAAATGTCAAACCCCCACCCCCCGTTCATTTTACTAACAAAAAAAAATAAATTTTATCATTAGCTCCCTACAAAATTTATTCTAGAATAGATATGTCCTCGCTAATTCACGCCCATGAATTTCCAACATCTCCCAATATCCCTTCCCAAAAGCCTAAATAATTCAAATACAACCTGATATAGCACTTTCCAACATTTTAGCTCTATTTGTTATACTCTGTGAATTCGCTGCCTCTTCCTTTTCACTAATTACATTAGACAACTCATCCTTTTCTTTTTTAAAAGCAATTATTTGATCATTTAATTCACTTATTTGTTTCTCTTTTTCAATTAATTGTTGTTCTCTTTCTTCTCTAATTTTTTGTTCATTCTAATAAAAAAATTATCTTAAACAATTTTTTTAAAATTCAAAAAAAACCTCAAATTTTTCTTCAATTTCAACAATTTTTTCATTCATTTTCGTTTCCATCTCTTTCAGTCGTTCTTCATTTTCTTTTTCCATTTTCAGCTTAAATTCTTCTACAGCTTTCAAAGAGCTTTGTTTTATCAAAGATTGGATAGATTGAAGAATTTCTTTTGAAAACAAAGAAATATTTTCTTCATTAAAGCTAGTTTGTTGTAATTCTTTTCCAGCTTCGCGGAGAGAATTTAGATCCTGAAAAATTGAATTTTGTTACAAAAATAAATTTTAGAGGGTGTTTGAAGTAGTAGCCGGCAAAGTTGTGTTTGAGGGATCCAGCGGGATAGAATTTTTTAAATAATCCTTGCGGAGCTCCCGCGGGAATAATCCCGCACTCCCGCAAATTGAAAAAAGGCGGGATTTCGGGACGGGATCCCGCAAAATCCCGCGCGGGTCACTAGTTTGAAGTTAAGTTGAAGCTGATTTGAAGTAAAGTCTAAATTTCAGTAAAAAATACCTCAACAAGTTCCTTCATTTGTTTTTGTACATTTTCCAATTTTGTCTTCATCCCAACATCAGAAACTTTTTCCAATTCAACTTTACGATTAAATTCGTCTTTCGCCACCTAAAAATTTTATAGAATAAAACCATACTTTTTTAAAAAATTAATTTTTAAACCTCTTCCACCAACGCTGGTTGATTAGCACATTGAGCTCTAACAAGAGAAAGTGGTCGAGTAATTTTAGGGGATGAACGGAAAGGCGAGTAGTTCTAGAAAAAGAAGTTTAAAAATTAAAAAAAAAATTTTCTAAAACCGGAAGTGTAGCTCTAGCATTGTTAACCGTTGTAATAAAGCGATTATGTTCATTAATCAACCCAAAACTACTAAATTCATCGGGTGTGCTGAAATTGTTAGAACCTATTGAATCATCCTTTTGTTGTTCATCACCACGAGTCTCATTATTATTATTGTTTGTTGGAATTGCAATTGGAGCACTTGGTTGGAGTGGAGACATTGATTCACGTTTCTTGAGTATTTTTATTAGTAGAAATTTTTTAGAAAAAAATTTGAAAAATTTTTCTTAAAATTTCTAGGCCTAAAATAATTTCAACGGTATCTCAAGCTTACATAAACAAGTGTAAACTATTAAAGTCAAACGGTATTCTTGAATATAAATTTTTGATTTGGTTGGTCAATGATTGGGCGATCTTCGCACTAACAGTAAACGATGTTCCCTTGTTAGTATGTGAGCTTAGAGTAGGATACCGCCGATTTTAGATACCCTCATCATAAGATAAGACTTTGTCATCCTCAAGGAGATATCCAAAAATAAAGTTCAATATAATCACACAACTTACATCATTAGCAACGATAGTGCTTGAGCTGTTATTATATGTCAATGCAAATTGGGGTTGTCCCGTATAGTGACATAAACCGCGTGGAGGAGATTCTGTCATTATATTTGCACCAATTGAATTTAAAGAAGTATTGGAAGCAAAACTTGAACCTTCCCGAGTTAAAGTAAGAAATGCATGACCTCCAGACGGTGAGACAATATCAATAGGTTCCTCACTGTTAAATTGAGAATTTTTTAAAATAAAATGATAAAAATTAAATTCAAAATTTGAGGAAATTCTAGAAATTTGAATTTATTTGTCGCCGAAATTTGGAAAACTCTCTGATGAAATCTTTGGCAAAAACAAAAGATCCCTGAACGGTTTCTGGAACTTTGTAAAACACTAACCGAATCATGAAAGTTTCCAAAATTAATAGGATACTAACCAGGGATGGGCCCTTTCGAATTTTAGAAGCGGAACATGGAAGAAAATAAAAAAATAGGGCAAAAACCTCGATTACCTTAACCAATTTGTTGAAGTATTAAAATTCAATTTCATAGCATCAATGTTTGACATTCTATCCCGGTCATAAAAACTCTGGTCTCGACGTATTTGAGATATCATAACTTGTTGATTTTGAGATTGGGAAAAATCAAAAACTGATAAACGTTGAAAAATTCTTGGAGCACCAACAATTAATACATCTTTCATGTGAGGGAAAATCTGAAAAGAATTCTTTTAAACATTTTAGAAAAGTTCAAACCTTTCTAAGTTCACTCAAGTGTTTACTTGATATTTTTGGAAGGCATTGATCTATTTTTGGAGGCGTAGTTGATGTAAATTGTGGAATTCTGTCACTCATTCCAGGGAATAATTGACACAAAAAATGTTTATCCAATTTGTTTTGGAATTGTTCTCGAATACGATTCTCTTCGGCAATAAAAGCTGAACATTTATCTATGTGAGTAGTAATCCAACCAGAAAATTCCTTAAAAAATAAATTTTATAGGAGCAAAAAATTCAGAATTTAATTGTATTGTTGACTAATGAAACTTATAACAAGAGAGGGTGACATTTAAGTCAGTCATTTTACATATTTTCGACAATAGAGTGACAGGATTTTAAACACAAGGTCTGATCCAGAACAGCTAGATTTTAGATGAAAAGGGTGTCGGAAAAATAAAAAGTGCTAACAAGGGAACAAAGAGAGAAGGTTCTCATTTACCCTATAACTTCAGACTCTAGCGGACCAACTTTGAACGGCCATAACTCGGCCCAAACTACTTTTGCAAAAAAAAAACGGGTCCTCAATCGAATGTTACCAAAAAATATATCAAATTCGCACTGACAGTAAAAGATGTTCCCTTGTAAGATGAATTTAAATAATAACCTTTCTCAGCTCTTCCCTTCTTATAACTTCTGGAACTGCTAACATATAAATATTTGGTGCTTCTTTAATCTGTCGTACAAGATCCAATCTTTGTCGCAATCCAGAATATTTTTCCTCAAATACAACCAATTTCTTGTTTGCCCTGTCCAATCTTTCATAAGCCTTTACAAAACAAGTTAATTACTTGAAGCTCTAATTTAATCTAAAAACCTGTCTAACCCAAGTAGAAAATCGTTGAGAAACTAAAAAATTAAAAAAATTTTAATTAAAATTTTCCAAAAAATCTTCAAACTATTTTTAACGACTTCCTCTTTTGAATCAATAAAAGAAATTGCAAAATCGTAAATATGTTTAAGTGGTTGTTTTAATTCATTTAGGCGTTGTTTTTGCCAATTTGCAATGTTTTGTGTGCTATCTTGAATTATTGGTTGAATAATTCTGTTGGAAATTTCGCGTACTTGTGCGAGAATTCCTTTGAAAAATTAAAAGAAATGTAGTCATGCTAAATGCTTAAAAAAGCACACACAACAAAATTAAGTGAAAATGGACAAGATTTCTCCCTAAAATGACTCAACTCAATGAACAACTATACTCACAAAAGAACCTTCCGAACTGTGCCCAAAAATTTTGAAATAAAATTATACAATCGTGTAGAGCATGGCAAAAACCTATTGTCGTATCCGGCTTTTTTAACTCAGACGCCCATTTCGAAAAGTTATAGTGCTTTAAAGTTTTCGACTTTTGGCCTTTTTTACCTTTGTTTTATTTTCTTTCGAGTTTTCTTCAAATTCGTTATATCAAGAATCGAATATATTTACGAAAAAGTTAAGGAAATGGAGAGGTTTATTTAATAGGGAAAACCAAAAATCACACTAACATAAACCAAAAGAGAGTTAAAAAGGCCAGAAAAGTTAGAAGGGAAAAGTCGCTAGAACAAAAGGAGTGGAAGGACTTAAACATCCAACATCAGAATTTAAAAAATGTTTAGATAAACGAAAAAAAATTAAAAAACCTTCCAGATGTTGAAATTTACTCCTCAAAGTAGTCAATCTTTTATCAATCCCTCCAATTTCTCGATATTGTGCTTTTGTAGAAACCCCTTGAACGATTGTAAAGAAAGATGTAGCTTCTATTAAATCAGTATCATCCGTTTTCTCCAAATGATCGAGCATTAATTGGGATAAAGAATTTAGAGAATAAGCTGGGTCTTTAGATGAAAGCCAATCAAATAAAGTTATTTCTTCAGAGGAGGTGAAAGTTGTTGAATTTGTATCACTGTCAGGAGAGGAAGGAGTTAATTGCTGTGCTGGAGGTGGTGAAAGGAGAGAGGAAGGGATCGTTATCTAAAATAATTTTCTTTTAAAGGTATTTTTAAAATATAGTGAAGCTGCTCAAAAAATTGGTCTTGGGCCCTAACTCAAAACTTTAGTAGGGTGAAGTAGGAGGAAAATTTTAGTTATGGTCTCGAGGTTGGAAAATTAGCAAACCTGAGGGGGAAGTTGAAAGACTGAAAGATTTAACAGGAACGACCGAATAGACCAAGGCCGAAAAAAACCTTTAAACAAAAATACGAAACAAAATAAGGGTCCAGACCAAAGGCGAAATTTGCTTGATTATCCCCAAATAAAAAATTTCATTTCCTTTATTTCTTTAAGGAAGCTTAAAAATAAATATGTAAATCACCTTTGAAAGAACTTCAATAACATTGTCAAAATCTCCCAAGAGAACGCGTCCTTTTGTCCGGATAATTTCCAACTTTTCTGCCTGTCTTTTAGAGCGTTGAAGGTATTTTTGGGTGCGAGAAATGCTGTCATCTAAATTTGCGATGACTGCCTTCCAACCCTAAAAAAATAATTTTTAAAATTTTTAAACCGAGTTTAGCAGACAATAAGTGTCATTTAAATTTAAAATAAATTCAAAAAAATTTAACCTGATGCAAGTAATGATGTTCAGAAATTAAATTGCTACAAAACCGAATAATTGTTTCCGCAACATTATTGCACTTTTTTGCCAATTCTATACACTCTGTAATAGCAGAAGAGGAGGTTGTGCTTATCCTGTTTAGACGGTCCATCTCAGAGCTCCAACCTTTGTTTGAATTATTAATTTTTATAAAGTTTTAAAGGACTTAAGGCTATACCCAGTCTTTTAAAAATGGTTGGAAAGGAGCTGGGTACAAAACGAATCACTAAAAAAGGTACTCGAGTAGAACAAATTTGTGTCAGGGGTGGGTCCTAACGCCCATACCAAGGCATTTTTCATTCTTGTGGAACTCGAGGCTGTTCTATACAGGCCCGTGGCCAGGATTTTTTTTCGGGGGGGGGGGGGGACAAGGGGGTCCATTCCCCAAATTTTTTCCTTTTCACCATTTCGGGAGGGGGATTCCCCCCTGACTACGGGCCCGTTCCTATACTATAAACCCATCATCCGGCCCTGTAAAACGGATTCAGAAACCATTCAAGACTAGATACTTTAAAAACCTCACCCAGCCACTCCCAAAATAAAACAACAAACCTCTAAAAAGTTCATTAATTCCTTCCAAATTTTCCTTCACCAATTCTCTACCATTATTCGTTACTCTTCTGACAAGAAATATTGGATTTGTATCAGTTCCAACCCCAGTTATTGAAGAAAGCATTGTTGAGCCAATTAGAGAACCTCCATCAGAAAGAAATAATAATTGATTATCGATTCCAATTCCCGTCGATTTTTCTATTGATCTGAGGGGAAAGAAAAGAATATTTCTTAGAAAAATTTCAAAAAAAAACTTTTGCAAATCAAAAACAGAACCAAGTGTTGGCGGTTCAAGCATTAACATATAACCTAAAAAATATGACAAATTTAAAGCACAAGAAGCTCAAGAAATCAAATAAGAATTAATTACCTTGATTAACGTAAAAGATGTGGAACATGTTGAAATTAAAAAAGAAAGAAGAAAGAAAAATGAATAAAAAATTAAATCTAAATTGAAAAATAAATAGTAGAGATCGAGATTTATGAAAAGCCTGGGCCTGTTCATGGGCATGTAGTCCAGGAAAACCCCAGGCCTAGGAAAAACCTAGGAGGGCCAAAAAATGCATAGGCCTGGACTCTGGGTACAGAGAAAACCCAGGACTTGGCCAGGCCAGCTCTAACAAATAGTATGTAATTGTAGTTGGGAAGTTCGGGTTAGTGAACGACATATCTACGTTTTCGTCGATTCGCGGCGAATAACTACTTTTATTCGCGAACGACTTTTTTTTAATACATAATGCCAGAACTACGTTAATATCGATGTTTTGCGCCAAACGATTGCGAAACGACTTTTTTGTGTCTCTTTTTCTCTAATTTCACATTATATTTCCTTTCTCTTTTTCTATTAATTTTCTATGTCGTTGTCTCTCCATTGGAATTTTTGTTAGGTTTTCGTTTTCTAAAGTTTAAAAAAAATAAAAAAAATAATTTTATTCATCTTTAAATAATGATTGTAATGAAATAAGTGTAGAAAATGAAATAAGTGTACTAATTGTTTTGCTAATTGATCCAAATTATTTAATTTTTCTTGTTGTGAAGCAATAGCTTTATCAAAATCTTCATGTTTTTTAATTAGAGATTCAACATTATCCCCAGTCGGGTCCTCTTGAGCGAGAAAAGCGTAAACGATTGGCCTAATAAACAAAAATTGCTTTTAAAAGGATTCAATTTTTAACTTTTTCATCTAAAGCACGTATTTTATCCCCTAAAGCAGCCAAATCCCTTTCAACTCCCTCATGTTTTCTTTGTAGAGCTTGGACTGAACGAAGATCACGACCAAAATCTTCAGTATCCAAAGCTTCATTCTTTTCTTGTATCCAATCCCTCGTCTCCTCCACGTCCTTATGGAAACGTTGAACTTCATGTGCAGATTCTAATTGCTGCCCTCTTTGTTCCGCCTTTTGTTCTAAAGCCTTCCAACTAGTAGCAATTTGATTCATTTCTTGTAATCTAACTTCATTTGCTTTCAAGTCACATTTAAAGTCATTGAATTTTGTTTGTAATACTTCTGCATGTTCCAAATCTTGACCAATTTCTTGTTGAGAAGCAACTGTTTCTCGTGACTTTATCCACTCTGCGAGGTCATTTGCTTCACGCAATAATTGGTAGGCTTTAAATAAAAGGGATTTAAAGATAATTTTGGGATTGTTTTCTAAACAACCTTTGTAAGCCTTTTCCAGTTTTCTCTTTCGTTGATCACCCAAAACCATTAAACGTTGGTACTGATCTTCAATTTGACTTTGTTTCGCGTTAATAGTGTTTACAGGTTGGCCAGCAGTTGCTTGGTGGTGATGTTGAGAACCAGGCTCGATATATTTAACATATTCCATGATCGCCTACTCTTCGGACTTCCTAGATCTAATCCTTAAGGATATGGATTTTCGACGTTTCGATGACGGTGTCACAGGTTCTTCGAGATCGCCGCTTTCGAATGCGACTCTTAATTCATTTTCAAATTCATCCATTTAGTAAGAATATATGTGGAAAAATCCCTAAAAATTACAGAAAAGGGACTGAACATTTATAAAAATGGAAAATTGCAAATTCCAAAGGAGAGACTACACAAACGAAAATTAATAGAAAAAGAGAAAGGAAATATAATGTGAAATTAGAGAAAAAGAGACACAAAAAAGTCGTTTCGCAATCGTTTGGCGCAAAACATCGATATTTACGTAGTTCTGGCGTTGTGTGTTTAAAAAAAAGTCGTTCGCGAATAATTGTAGATTTTTTTAAAACGACTTTTTTTCCTTAAGAAAAAGTCGATATGTCGTTCACTAGTTCGGGTACAGCCTCGCGGGGAGTCTACGGTCGCTGGGTTCTGGGCTCGTAACTTAATCCTATTCCTTTTTACCGATTCTCAGCCTTGAATGCCGACCTACCCTCCGTAGCAACACCAAAACAGGTATTGAAGCGAAAAGGCGAACAAGGAAAAGGCGAAAATATGAAGAAAAGCTTGGCGACAATTCGGCCGGCGACATTTCGGCCTCGCGACATTTTGGCCCGCGACATTTCGGCCGCGACATTTTGGCCCGCGACATTTCGGGCGTGTCCCGGGAAGTTCTGAGGAATTTAAACCCGGATGTATTAAATAATCCGCAAGGCTGTTCTTTAGTATAGCTACACCGAGATCGAAACTTGAAGTATATACCATTCGATTCGTCTCGCTGAGCTGAGTTCAAATATGCAAGAATTTTCTGCGGGAGACGAAAACTCGCAGAGATACAGGCCCCCGAAAATTGAAAAACCATAGGGGGGAGTAAGCTGATTTTTGGGGTCAAAAATTCGCTCGTCGAGCTGAGTCGAATGACACCAAAATCAACAAAATCAGACATGATTGAACAAAGTTATGATCTTTTATTTTAGCTCCTTACCTATGGGATCTGTGGAGATTTTTGCTGCTACGGAGGCCCCAAATACGTCCAGAGCAAGGGAGATAGGAATAGGTTTATGTTACGAGCCCAGACCCAGCGCCCGTAGACTCCCCGCAAGGCGCGTGCCGCAAAACCCCGCGCGAAGCGCGGGGTTTTGCACAAGCGCCTCGCCGACGCCCCATAGGTTTAGGTTTTTTGTATCATAACTTTGTCTAATCTTGTTCAATCACGGTGATTTTGGTGTCATTTGACTCAGCTCGTCGAGCTCTTTCGAATGAGTTATTATTTGTATAAAAAATTTTTTATTCCGAAAATCGCCCCTTTGGATCTTCGATTTTTAGGGGTCTATATCTCGGTTCAATCAAGTCGGATTTCGTTGATTTTGGTGTCATTCGACTCAGCTCGACGAGCTCTTTCGAATGAGCTATCATTTGCATATTCGAATTTTTGACCCCAAAAATCAGCTTACTCCCCCCTATGGTTTTTCAATTTTCGGGGGCTTGTATCTCTGCGAGTTTTCGTCTCCCGCAGAAAATTCTTGCATATTTGAACTCAGCTCGTCGAGACGAATCGAATGGTATATATTATGGGTTCCGATCTCGGTGTAGCTATACTAAAGCGACCCCATCCCCAAAATTCGGGATAACGGGAAGTGCCGACTAATTTTTTAATTGATTCCTGCAAGTTCCAAACGGCTAGCGAAGCTCTAATTACCGTAGCACAGCTCTGATGCGGAGCTTCGCCAGCTGTTTCTGTAACGTTGATCTTTTTGAAGTTGATCTCTAGTGTTGATCTTGTAGGGTTGCCCCAAGGAGTAGATTACAACAAAAAATTGCGTAAAATAAATCTCTCGAAGCTTTTTGGAAAATGTAAAAAAAAATTTAGAAATTTAAAGCGGAACGTCCCAATCTAGTATTACCAATTTAAAGTACAAACGGATGCTCTTTGCTGGGAGTTTTCATTTGTCCTGCTGCATCCGCTCCTTTGCTGGGAGTCTTTGCTGCCTTACAAGGTAATCGTACCTGCAACGGCAAGTCAGCAAGGACTCCCAACAACGGAGCGGACGAGCAGGACAAAGGAAGACTCCCAGCAAAGAACATCTTAGAGCACATCCCAGACCGGGATGTTACCCACTACACCAAGGCCGCTCTATAAATTAAGATTTAAAAATGCTTTATAAACTCTTAACAATTCTTTGATATGACTGAAGAATGTTTTGATTATGAAGATACTGATGTGAGTATGAAAGCGCTGCACGTCGTTAGACAGCACAAAAACTATGCGGGGCAATTCCTCATGGAATGACTCGTTCTCTTTCAGATTTCTTAAAATAAATTCTCAATATCAGGCTCAACTCCCCCAATTTAATATTTGTCAAATTGAAGACGTTTTTTAAAGATAATACAAAAAGGACAGGCATCTAAATAAGAGATGCCACGGATTTAGAAAAAAGATGATCAAATACCTATTAACTAGCGACTGAAGGATAGGACCAAAACTTCACCAAACAAGCAACCGACATTAATCTCGAAAAAAAATTTAAAAAATAAGAAAACCTGGATAAAATACCAGACGAACAAATAAATAATTTTGCTATTTAATTTCAAAAACAAAAATTTATGTCTTTTAAAAATGAGTAAAGAACGTTTTTAAAGGGAAGACAAAAAACCAAAAGGGTGGGTGATAAAAAAATTTTGAAAAAAATAAAACAAGAAAAAGATAAAAATATTTTCTTTATTTTTCTCCCAAAAATAATTTTTATTAAAATTTTTCGGGTAAATTATGGTTTAGGGCCTTCTTTGTTTCTTTCCCTAGTATATACAGAACATCTTTTTTGATAAGCAACTCACTGTTTTATAAGCTCGCGCCCTAATGGCCCCGCGCCCTAATGGCCCAGTCCCTGATACAGACGGATCAGACTTCCTTTACAGGTATTTGGTGGCATTTCAAAAAAAAATAATCATTGAGTTATTAATGTCTCATTGTATATGCCAGATCTGTGCATGGATACGGATATATGGATACAAATATCAGGATGCCTGTGGATATCCTCCGCAAATATCCGGATATGAATACAAAAATCTGTGGCCATGCACAGGTCCACGGGGAAATAAAGTGAAAGACCCATTCTGAAAAATTTTAAAAAAATCTGGGGAAAAAGGGGGGCCCTAAACCTTAATTGTTTTACCCTTATCTTTATAATACAAAAATAAATTTGCATGAGATACTCTCCTACACTTCTCCCCCAACTTCAAATTATTATTAAAAAATAACTAATAAAGTTATACATTTAAAAAAATAAAAGAAGAAAAAAAAGAATTGAAAATCTAGCGACAAAAAAAAGTTTTTTTAAATAAATTTTTTTACACATCACACAATTCTTTTTCTATTTTTTTCTAAAAAGACTGCTATGATGGTTGTACTCCTTCAAATATATATAAATTATTTGTTGCTGCTAATGCTATAATATCTGCTGAAGGATGCCAGGCGCAATGAAGAATCTTTAAAGTTTAAAAAACATTAATGAGTCATTTATAGGAGGGTATATTCCCATAATTTAAAATGAGGGATTTACAATGGGGGCAAAACTAAGGAATATGTAATATGGGGCAAAGATGGGGGCAGAAGTCCCATAAAAACAGGACAACAGACTGAAAAAAGTCAAATGAGGTAAAACTAGGGTTAACCGAACCGGGATCGAAAACCGGTGGTCGCGATACCCGAAAATTGGGGGACCCGGTTAATAACCAGTAGTGAACAACCCTATGTAAAACCAATAAAACGGCTTTTGAAGCCCCTATAACTTTTCAGAATAGGAGTTAGGATCAAAAAAAAGCCAAAAATTGGCAATAGGTTTTCTACACTGCTCTATACTATGGTATAAATTTTAAATAAAAATTTCTGTTCATAACTCGATCGTGTCGGGTTAACTCATGGAACTGATAAGACACGTAATTATCAAATCACGGAATGACCAAAATACGGAATATTTTAAAAATAGGAATTGATAATTCTTGCGTTCGTACCCCCCCCCCCCTTCTTTCCTTCCTCAAAGTATTAAGAAATGATCAGTCTGATATCAGATTATAGAACTCGTCGAGCTTTGTCGAATGACACCAAAATCAAGCCCCGGTCTTAACTTTGGGCCGAGATACAGTAAAAAACCAGCGCAAAGCGCAAGTTAAGCAAAAGCGTCTCACCGACTACAATAGGTTTTGTTCATAACTTTGTCAAATCTTGTTCAATTACGTCGATTTTTATGTCATTCGAATCAGCTCGACAAGCTCTTTCAAATGAGCTATTATTTGTTTAATCTAATTTTTATCCCAAAAAATCTGCTTGATCCCCCCTTTTATATTTCAATTTTCTGGGGTCTGTATCTCGGCCCAAAGTTAAGACCGGGGCTTGATTTTGGTGTCATTCGACACAGCTCGATGAGTTCTATAATCTGATATCAGACTGACCATTTTTTAATACTTTGAGGAAGGAAAAGGGGGGGGGGTACGAACGCAAGAATTACCTAGGAATTTTTTGAAAAATCTGGATATTATAAAAATAATAAGAATTTTTAAAAAAATTAGATGTTCCGTGACCTGTCTGTTCTGTGACTTGAAATTCATCGAGTTAGCCCACACCCATCTCGATAGTGTCCCCTGTCAGAACTTAATAGAATATTTTTTGCGAATTACCCATAAAATGTTCGAAATTAAAATCCCCAATAAAATAAAATTAAAAGAAACCTTTTTATTAAAATCCAAATAATCTGCACTAATTTCTTCTTTCCGTTTTCTACCCGGAATTGTTTTTGCTGAATTTCCACTTTTTTTACCTCCTGAACTGGTAAAGTCTGAATTAGCAAATCGCGGTTGTCTGAAAGGTTTACACAATTCTAGACTAGCTTCATAGGTTGATTCAACATGGGAATTTCGCTTAAAAGTGCGAAAGTGGTTGTTGTAAGAGCCGGTAATGACATGTCTAGAAATAAAAATTGAAAGACTTTTTGCTGTTTATTCACAAATTTCTCAAAATTTTAAATAGTTATAAAATCAGATTGAGCTTTTCTAGGTAGGTAATCTCTCCTAAAACATTGAAAAAAGTCAGAGGTAAAACCCTAAAATAGCTTTTCGTACGTGATTACTTTGAAGCCCTATAGCTTTTCGGAATGAGAGTCAGGATAACTCGAAGTCTTTTCATTTTATTCCTACATTTATAAAAGAAATCTCTCATAAATAAAAAATCCTTCAATAAAAATAAATAAAAAACCTGTCATCTCCACTCCAACTACATTCAAATTTATCAAAAATCGAATCATTTTCGTAAAGTGTACAAAGTTTTGAGCGTAAACAATCATGCACATGGTAAGTTTCGACTGGTCTATTTTCCATATTTAAATCCCAAACCTTCAAAAAAAAAGTTTTTTTATTTATAGAATTATAGAAGAATATACGTTGACTGTGAGGTAATCTCTTGTTAACAAATATCTTCCACTTCTAGAAAATTTTACATCAGATATTGAGGATATTATTTCAGAGAAGAAGGAACGGGCTGCTGGATCTTCTTTTTCTTCAAATACTGAAAAAATATTTAAGTTAGAAAGAAACGAGGGTCAGGGGCAACTTTCCCTTTAAACTAGAAGATAATGCCAGAAAAATGTCAAAAGGACTTACCTAAACTACCCAAGGGCGTAACCAAGAGGTCGATTTCGGCTAGGGAAGGGGCTAACATGGGGTGAGCGCCAGGGCTGGGCTTATTTCGCACTTTTTGACGCGAAAAGTTTCGCATTTCGCTTTTAATTTTTAGATTTCGCCCAGCCCTGGTGAGCGCCCAAGTTTTGGGTGCCAAAATTCAATTTTTTCCCTTTCCCCATTTCGGGAGGGGGGGGGGGGCTTTAGCCCCAGAAGTCCTCCTGCCTACGCCCCTAAAACTAACTTATAATAACCAAAATTTTGGTTAACTATGATGTGGAAAAAACAAATATCCCCTCAAAAAAAAGAATAAACTTTTTGCTGGTCCATCACATAGAGCGCCGTCCCGCATATCACAAAGACGTATAATTCCCTTTGAAGAGCTATATGCAAAAAGATGGCAATGTTGTTGATGAAATTCAGCGGCTGTTATTACCTAAAAATTGATACAAATAAAAATCAAATAATCCAAAAACCTCAGTCAATTCCTCCATATTTGTTGGTTTTATATCCACAATATCTTTAAATTAAAGAAAAATCTCTAAAAAATCAAAAAATTCTTACTAAAGCTCTGATTTGTTATTTCATGATTCCACAAATTTATTCGAAGATCATCAGCTGAAATAAATGTTTCTTGGTCTGAATTGATGCTGATTGAGTTGATATGCTGGAAAATTATAATTAATTTAAGGAAATGCTCACAAAATTTATTAAAAATAATTTTTAAAATACCCTACATATGTGTGTGCATTTGCATAAACCCTTCTAGGTGATGCTTCTACAATAAGTTCCATTGGGACTAGCATTGGTAATTGAAGCGGTGAACCACTTATGAGCCTGCAACTAATAAATTCTTTGAAAGACAAATGAAAATTCAGAACTTTGAAAATTAGAGGTATAGAGAAATCAAACAGAAGTTCAAAAACTACTAGAGGAGCTAACAAGAGAACATATGTACAGTCATCACAAATTTGGTATTTTTTGGTACCATTTGATAGAGCCTCCGACTTCCTATTGGAAGTCTTTTACCCCATACTCAAACACTAAAACTTCGAAATGGCTATAACTTTTTTTAAAATATTTTGCAAGAAAACCCGCGTCACTTCTCACAGGAAGTCGGGGGCCTTTATCGAATGGTACCAAAAAATCAAATTCGTGGTGACAGTAATATACCGTATTTCCTATATTAGAGCCCCATGGGGCTCTATTTTTCAACTATCCTCCAAAGTGGGGCTGTATTAGAGGGTGGGTTATTAGATTCATCAAAAAATCAAAACCTTCGGGTCCCATCATCATATCGCAGATTATATCCACCGTCCGCCATTTTTCGTTCTCTTTCTGATATTTTCCATAGTTTTACTGTTTTATCTAAAATTTAAAAATAATTAAAATGTTTTCCTTAAAAACCATTTGTTGAAATTATAAAATTTGCGGCATTTTTCTTTTTCATCCATTTTATTTGATTTATTTTTTCTTCAATTTCTAAAGACTTTAAATAGTCAAATTCAGGTTCATGCGATTGGAATGTTGAGTAAACATTGTATTCACTAGTTCTTACACCGTTTAAATAAACACCCTGAAAATTGAGACAAAAGTTGTTTGAATGGGAAATAAGCAAAAGAAGGTGAATGAAAAGAAACAATTATTTAATAAAGAAACAGAGGTACTTGTCGGTTATCTTTACGTGTTTTTGCGGACACAATTGTACGGAATGGTCGTTTATCCCTCATTTAAATCCATCTCCCTCAAATGCATTAAATTTGATGTGTCCGCAACACCGACAAGTACCGATACAGGAAACCAGAATTTAATTAATTTTACGCAAAGGGAGCTAAAATATAAGAGTCCGAGACCTAGTTCTACAAGATGTCGAAAAAGACCAAAATATAGCCTTCGGAATTTAATTAACAATTATAGACTTACACTTTGATCACGTTGAAAAATAACTACTCTGCCCCCTTTATCTCCAGTTGCGAGCAATTCACCATCTGAAAATGTGAAAAATAAGAACACGAAAAATAAATCGAACCATGAGAAAATTCAACACAGGAGATTATATCTGCTGAAATAGAAAAAAGAAAATTGGTGATTAGAAAAATAAATTTAATAAAAAGGGAGGCGGTTTAAGTGAAGCAAAAGGGCAGAACAGGCATGGGAGTTATAGTGATCCGCAAAATAATAGCCCCAATAAATTAGACTTAAAACAGAATATTGAAAGAGTAAATGACCAGATACACGATTAGAGGTCAATTTCCATTACTTCACAATTTTTCTTGTTCTACCATAAAATCTCAATTGATTTAATTGTAAGAGAGGAAGTGGGAAGAACACGAAAAATTGTGACAAAATCCACTAGAACAAAAACGGATGGGGAAGGAAAGGGGGCCACTTTATGAAATTGCCAGGAAATGGGGAGAGGACAGGGAATAATTTTAACGAAATTAACAAAATCAAAACAAAGTTTGGAGGAGAAATGGGGCCCAATTTATGAGCTAATGAAAAATTAAAAAAACCGTCAGTTGGCGCATCATCCGTTTCAATATTTCCTTTTATTTGAGAAAATCGCCATTGAATTTCATCCGAAAATTCCATGCTTTGTGGTTCAGAACTGCCAGCTCTAGATGAAGATGGCTCAGAACAATCCATTGATGACTGTTGCTTTCTTCTTGGATAAATATTGATTAGCCGCAGTGTGTTCAATTTTTTGATTTGAATATATTCTTATTAATTTTTTGTTTACTTTTCTGTTAAAAATAAAATCTTCATTCCTATTTTGAGGAAAATTGTTGTAATAAAATGAGGTGAAAAATCAGAAGACAAATTAGGCAGAATGACATTTGGGAAAGGTTACAGATTGCCACAAATTCGGAATCATGGCACAAAATGGTGGCTGGAAAAATGTTCCAGAGACAAGGCCTTAGCGTGTTTCAAAGAGTGCGGCACGGGAGAGATCCCAGGCGTGATTTTACGGGATCCCGTCCCGGAATCCCGGGTTTTTAGCGACGAGCGGGATTCGGGATTAACCCCGCAGGATCCCTCCGTTCGATTATTTCAAACTCTACCCCGTTACGGAATCCCGGAAATGCGATTTTGCCGATCTCTAGTTTCAAACGTGCTTTCGAAACAACTTTAGAAAAGCATAGTTTGAAAGACAGATATCCTAATATTGGAGAATTTACGGTTTCTAAAAATATGTCTTTAAAGAATAAAGGTGTTTAAAGATTATTTGACGAGTTTTACAAAATTTTAATGAGTAAACGAAATTTTAGTTAATTAAAAATAAAAAATTCCTTTTTCTCAAAACTTTCTCTAGTTTAATTTGGCATGCAAAAAAAGTACAGCATGAATTTTTAATGAATTAAAAAAAAACAATTACATAATTACAGCTTTCTTCACCCAACAATTAGTTAAGAAAGTCTCTACCAGACAGTAAAAGGAAGCGATTAGCATCCAACTAACAAAGTGTAGGTGGATAAAAAAATTTTTTTTCTAAAGGGACATTTTGTCCCAACACTGCCAATAGACATTTTTATTGGAAAATTTTACCAAAACAAAAAAATGTCAATCCAGAAGGCCGCGCAGTATAAAAAAATGCGTGCCATCCTTGGCAAAGGAAAAATAATAAAAAAAAAGGTGTTTTATCCAGTTAGAGGGAGGGGGTGTTGCGAGGGGAAGATGCACCAACAGAAAAAAATGATCGATAAAAATATGTAAGCAAAAGGAAGAGAAAGCATTTTAAACTAGAGAAGGAAATTTTAGAGAAAGAAAAAAAAATATTTTAGAAAGCAAAAAAAGAATAACTTGGGAAAAAGACAAAAATAATAATAAAAAAATTGAAAAAAAAATAGAGGGAGGGCTAGCTTAGCTTTAAAGGGCTACTACACATTTTGCCAATAACATATTTTGCCAGTAAGGGTAAAAAGCCACGTTTTGCCAATAAGTTTATTGGCAAAATGTGGGATTCTAGCTTTATTGCCAAAATGTGGAATTGGCAAAATGTGGCACTACAGCTTTAAAGAAAATGTACTTGCTAATATGTTAAAGCAATGTAGTTAGGGAAAGCAAGAAGAAAAAAAACAAAAAAAAGTACTAGTGTGGTTGGCAAGGAACTCTGCTAACTAACTAAAGTTAGCCTGCTAATGAGGGAAAAGAGAGACTTTTTTTTGTTTGTTAAAAGGACTCTTTCGAGGTTATATGCAAATCTTTCTTCTAAGTTTTAGAAAATTTCCTCAGAGTTTTCCAAGCTAATTTATTTTTTAAATTTTGCAGTGAAAGGATAAAAAGTCGTTTTTGGCGTTATGTTTTTTATTTTAAAGATTTTCGAGTTTTGCGTCTTTTGAGTTTTTAAAAATTTCAGTGAAGGATTTTTAAAATTAAAAAATTGAAGCTAGAGCTGATTAGGGGAGAAATGAGATTTAAATTTTAGAAAACGAGAAATGGAGGGCTAAACTAGTAATCGAAAAATGGAGGCTTGAATAAATAGGAGCAGGCCAGTATACCGCGAGCCCAGTATACAATCGAGCCATAACTTCGTTTAAAATTGCCGAATCCGGGACGCCCTGGTATGTTTCGATTCAGCTCGTTGAGGCGCATCGAAACATACCAGGGCCTCTCGGATTCGACAATTTTGAACGAAGTTATAGCTCTGCGGTATACTGGGCTCGCGGTATAACGGGGTGTACCCTGAATAACTAAATACAAAAAATTAACGATGGAAAGAGAAATAAAAATCGGAGTGAAAAAACCAGAATTCTGGAAAATATTAACAGCCAGAATTTTAGGAAATTCTGATTTGAAAAATAATCAGAATTATCTAAAATTATGAATAGTATAAATTCTGTTCTGAAGAAATGATTTTTGTCTAATTTAAAGAAATTAATTTATGCCAATTGCAATTTTCACATATTTCCATATCTGAGAAAAATTTTAAAAATAAAAGAAAACGTTGAAAAATTTAAACAAAAAATTCCTTTTTACCTTATGTCAAATAAAAATAATTTTTTTTTAGCAAATTAAAAATAAAATCCTTTCTAGACTAACAATAAAAATAACTTTTAGAAAAATATCCTCAATAAATGTGTTTATTTAATAAAAGAATTTTTTTAAACCTCTTAACGGATGTAATAAAAACAAATGAGGAAGAAAATTAAAATAGTACATACCTCTGATAATTAAAATTCTGTTATTTAATTTTAAAAAATCAGAATTATTTAATAGCAAATACTATCAGAATTGTTGTTTTAAAATTCAGAATACCTACAAATTAAATAAAATTCAAAATTCTGATTTACTATAAATAGAAGAATCAGAATTCTGAGCAGAATCAGAATTTCTGAAAAATCAGAATTCTGAGCAGAATCAGAATTTCTGAAAAATCAGAATTCTGAGCAGAATCAGAATTTCTGAAAAATCAGAATTCTGAGCAGAATCAGAATTTCTGAAAAATCAGAATTCTGAGCAGAATCAGAATTTCTGAAAAATCAGAATTCTGAGCAGAATCAGAATTTCTGAAAAATCAGAATTCTGAGCAGAATTTGATTCGAAAAATAGTCAAAATTACCTATTTTAAATCAGAATTATATAAAAAATCAAAGTTCTGATTTGCTAAAATTAAAAATAAAATTTGGGATAGGAGAAAATTTAGTATCATTTTATTATTTCTGAAAGAATTAAAAATAAAACAAAGAAAAATTAATTTAAAAAATATCTGAAAAATAAAACATTTTTTGCCTTTAAATTAAAAAAAAATATTTTTTTGGTAAAAACGAACAAATAAAAAAGTTTCATAAAAAATATATTAATTAAAATCAAGTTTATTTTCTAAAATTTTAATTTTCATCTAATAGGGCAAATAGGTCGTTGCAATGTTGAGCGTATTCCACTACTTCCACCTCCACTACGTCTTCCAAGAAAAATTCTTTTTAGTGCAACTTGATAATCTTAAATTATAGGTATATAACTTTTTGAAATAAAAATCAGAATTCTGATTTGACAGAAATAAAAAAATCAGAAATATCGAAAAATCAGAATTCTGATTTGCCAAAAAATCAGAATAAAAAATCATAATTCTAAATCAGAATAAAAATCAGAAAAATCAGAATAAAAATCAGAATTCTGATTTACCGAAAATGAAAAATCAGAAATATCGAAAAATCAGAATTATAATTTCTGACTTGCCGAAAATCGGCTCAAAATCAGAATTATAAATCAGAATAAAAAATCTGAATTTTAAATCAGAATAAAAATCAGAATAAATTCTCCAACTAATTTCAGAATAAATTTATCAAATACCTCTATTAAATACAGTATAAATTATTGGATTCATTGCAGAATTCTTTAAAAATAAAATTAATTTTAAGGTTTAAAATTTATTTACTGAATATCCCAGCCATGTTATAAACTGAAAAATTTAGAAAAAAATTTTTTTAATTTAAATTTTTTATTAACCATTTCGATATGTGGATTAACTGAACAGTAAGCACAAAATTGTACAAAAACATACATTCTAAATTTAAAATTATTTCTTAATTATTCTCTGATTATAAGATAAAGAAGGGACCCAAGACAAGAGTTCGTTCAAAAATTTATAATATCTCGATAGATAATATCTCAAATAACTTTAACATTTTTGAATTTGACTTTATAAGATTTCAGTAGAGTTAGTTCAACGAGAGACTTTAAAACTTACACAAAAAATGGAGTCCAACAAAGAGTAAAACATCCAAGTATAATACCCAAAACTGTAAATATAGATAATAATTAATTTGTATCAGGTCTATAAATCGGGGGTTTTGGAATTTTTTAAATTAAGAAAGCCCACAAAAAGCCCTAATATACACAAATTATATTTAATCTTTTGTTAGGCATATGGGTCTAGTATAAAGCTAGTCATTAGCTATCAATCTTTGTCGGCACCAGTGTTCACAAGCTCGTACCAAAATTCGTACTCGTACTTAGGTACGACATACGAGTAAAAGCAAAGAACTAGGCAGGTATGAAGTATGAATACGAGGCTAAAATTAAGGGTGGTACGATGTAGAGTACGAGCAAACTTGAAAATTATGAACACTGATCGGCACCTGGGTTGACCGATTATTCATGCCTATTGCCAACCCCGTTATTCTTGTATTTATCTTATGATAAATTGTTATTCTAGTCTTTATACCCTTCTACATATTAGTTCTAAGGCATCAATCTCTTTAGGGCATAATTTCCTATAGTTTCATTAAAAATCACCGCGAACTCCCCTCCGCTCCTTAGCTGCGCTTATAGTTCTAGGCCTTGTTTGGAGGCTTTTGCGAAGATTTAGCTCCTTTCTAAAAAATATTAACAAATTTCCAACAATTTATAACACCAAAAAAATACCTTCTTTTATGCCTCCTAACTTTTTCATAAGTGGGCATTGCTGTTGAATTCCCCCCAATTCTCCCATTTTTATTTTTTAAAATCATTTGTTGAATTTTTAGAGGGTTATTTAAATCTTCTGTTGTCCCTTCACTATTTCTCTTTTTTATTAAAGCTTTAATTATATTATTTGGTTGTTTTTGGGTTGGGGAAATTTTTGTTGAAGAGGAAGAATCTTCTTCTTCAATACTGTTTTGTTTACCGAGTGAATTTTCGACTGTAAAAAATTTTTTTTTATTAAATTAGGACAATGATAGAATGATTGGAAAAGGAGTATTTGATCTGGTTGAAGAGAGAGAGAGTTAAGGTCGTTTACCCAAAGCGACCTTCTGGCAGTTATTGTTAGGTGCGTTTGGTCATCAAATGCTCCTCTACAGACTAAGCTTCCGTTGGCTATCACCTTTTCTTCTACTAGATTTTAAACCTGCCTAGTAAGCATTTTACTAGGCAGAAAAATGTAAACCTACAATCTTCCTTAAACTTAAATGAGTGTTTTTTAAAGTAAATTGAAGGGAGAGATTGCATGGATGTTGCAAAACGAATATTAAAAAGACCGGTAAGGATTCAAACCTGCGACCTCCTGACAGTTATTGCTAGGCGTTTTCGCTCACCCCATACAGGAGCTCTACCACTGAGCTACTATTTTTTCCTTTTTAGACCATTTAACCCCCGCCTAAGCGTTTTAAATGCTCTAGTTGAATCATCCTTACACTACATCCCTTATAGGAAGGCCATGATAAAAACTCTATTTATAATTTCTTCAAGAAAACTAGCCGTATCCAAAAGATTTCCATTGCTTTTTTGACTGCAAAAGCATTTTCCTTTTAGCTGTTGTAGGTGTTACAGGAGCTTCTTCGTCCTCCTCAGGTATGTCATTTGGATGTTTAAATGTTACTTTTGGAGTTTGGGGAGAACCAGTTTTTGTTTGACCGTTGACACGGGAAAGTATTGCGTTTGAAGGTGAACTTTCTTTGATATTAGAGCAGTCCTTTTCTTTCCTCACAGGCTGGTTAAAATAAAAAAATTTTAGTTCGAGATTCATAAACCTTAGGAAAATGGAAATAACAACGAGAAATTCTACAAATATTAAAAAATCCAAACAGGCACACAATTATAATTTCGTGGCGCAACTTTTCAGGACCCAATATTTGAGGATAATTTCGATTAAATTAAGCATAATTTCTGAGGTTATCAGACCTTGGGGTGATACTACACTAGGAGACTTTAAGCCAAAACGCAAAAGGCCTGGGAACAATTTAGATGGTCTGTTTGTTTAGATTATCAGTAAAAATCCGTTTAGGTAATTAACTTCTATAGCAACATTTATTGAAAGCTCTACAGATGCCGTGGAGATTTTCCACAGAATCTGTACATTCTCCGGTTCTGTTTTTATGCGGTTCTATTTCGTGTACAAGATCTATAGGCAATATAAACAGGAATATCGAGAGAGTTACCTCCTCATTATTCGAATACTCAGCACTTTTATCAGATTTGTCACTTTTTTCGGGCGAATCGTCAATACTCACATCCTCTTCTTCCTCATAGATTATGGAGTGTTGAAGAGGAAGGACTGGAACTGCTGTAGTCGAGTGTGCTCTCCTTGTATCTCAAATTAAAAAATTTAAAAAAAGTAATTAATTTTAGAAGTATTCAGAACTGCCCTTGATACGAAAGATTAGCTTTAGCTATAAAACAAAAATATCTTGAATAAGATCGAAATTTAGAGGTTTCAGTGAGCCTGACATTTCATTAAGATGCCTAGAAATTAAATTACATATGTGCAGGAGATACTTTTTATTTAAAATATGACTAATTCGGAACTACAGTCGTCGTTATAATTAGAGTACATCGAGTACCGAGTAATTGGGGAAAAACCCCATAGCTGTGGCTATAACATTAATCAACTTTATAAATACCATTTTCATTAAGATTTCTACAAACACATTCCTCATCCTCAAAGTAAGGAGGTCTATCCACAACCTCCTCTTCATCGTCTTCATCTTCATCGGCATCTTTCGCAAATTCATCAGACTTTAATTTAATTTAAATTTATTAAAACTAATTATTTTTATTCTCACAGTTGGCAAGATGTGGCTAATTTCATGAAGAATAGTCGATTCGATATGCCTTCGGATTACCTAAAAATATTAATTTTGGGAAAACATGAATTAGTTCGACAAGAATTTTTAAAATTAAAAAATAGGGCACCTCTATTTTGTCTACTATAGAGAGAGAAAATCGTCCACTATATAGAGGGTTTACATAATATAGAGGTTATTCTATATAAGAATCCTTCAGATGATGTTAAGAAACCCTTAAAAAGTCCAATAAATAGAGAGTACACAATATAGAGGTCTAATTCATTATAAGGTTTATCACAATATACATACATAGAGGTCCAAAATAGTCTAAAGATTAAATTAAAAAGGACAATGCACAATTCCACAGACAAGAGTATAATTAAATAAAGCTGTGCGCAAGTAAAATCACAAAGAAATCTTTTGATCCGTTATGTCTTTTATTGTCTCTCTCATCTAATAATTACACTCATCTAATCAAATCCGGAAATATTTAATAATAAATCTTTTAAAGCAAATGGTTAGAGAAAAGCGAGAGAGTGTATGTTATATAAGAGGAAAAATCCGGAAAAGACAAAACTTGTCGATCACTAAAGAAAAATAAATATCGAAACATACCCTCGATGAAACGGCCAACTAAATATTTAAAAAGTACAGAAGCAATTTAACTAAGGATTTAAGGAAAAGTTTTTTTTTCTAAATTTTTTGGAAAATGTTAAAGGTCACTGCATTTATTAAGCAGAAAATATTTAAAAAGCATAGGGGAAATAAAGAGAAATATCCAACCTTTTGCCTGTAAATTTGTCTCGCTCGATGTTTAGCAAATGCCTGATAAATCTGAGAAAAAGAATATTTTTTTCAGAATTTTATAAACGAATATACACCTTGAAGTAAACGAAGAACATTAATAGAGTTGGAATAAAAAAGGAACCAGTAGCAGAGTAAACAGTGTAGGAGGGTAAATCGAGGAATGTGCCTAATAGAAAATTATTTTTTTATGTACATATCTTTTGAGCTGATTCCCTGATATGTTAAAAATCTGAATATGTCGAACCTCGATGTAAGCTACAACTTGGAGGCTTAAAATTTTTAGATCGGGTTTATTGCCTAGTAGGGTTGGTCCCCGACGGGGAGGGGGGGGGGTGAGGGCCACGTGAAAAGGTTTTCGGGAGGCAGCGCCACAGGGGGGAAGGATGGAGACGGGGGGAAAATTTGTAAGGGAAATTTCGGAGAATCAAAAAATTTTTTGGCCCATTCGGCGCCAAAAATTTACCCAAGCAGTTCCTCCCTCCACTCAGTCTACCTAATATAGGGGGAGGTTATAAGGAGGTTCGACAGTATACTCAGTTAGAGGTAAAGAAAAAAGGAATAGATGTTATATTTTCTTCTCTCACATTGCCAAGTTCCATTCAATTCCACTAAATTTCCATGTTCAGCAACTTGTTTCCACCCAAGTAGAGGGGCTAAACTTATCAATGCAGAGAATGACCACACAGTAACAATCATTATACAGGCTGTTTTTTTGTTTCGTTTATTTAGGTAAGCAACTGGAGAAGTTATTGCCCAATATCTGAGAGAGAGAGATACAGTGATCTGAAAAATCTAATAATCACCTATCGAGCCCTACAATAGAAAGATTCCAGATTGAAGCTGTAGAGCAGAGAATATCAGCTGAAAATTCTCAGGGTTCAAAATGGTCAATAATCAAAAATTAAAAAATAACCAGATACAAAAATTTGACAAAGAGTATCATTGAAGAGCCATTCGCCTGAAAATTATAGTCCTAATAATAGTTAGGTTATTATTCAAATATTTAATGGGTTTAGGACTGTCGTACCAGTGCTTCGCAAATTGTAATATTATTCGTACTCATTAGAGTTTCACCGAAAGTTCCGGATTTAGTTCCGGAAAGTTCCGGCATTTCTTTTGTTCCGGTAGATAATGGAGATTATGGTTCCGGGATCCGGAACTCAAATAGGGTTTTTTCGGAACCTATTTCAGTTCCGGTTAAAATTTCGGTTCCGGTGAAACTCATGGTACGAGAATGAAACAGAGAATCGAAGCACTGGACGTGACAGATCCAAAAAATTTCTATTCAAATTAAAAAAAAATTTCCCTAACCAGCACAAGCATAAACACTCGATAAAGGGAGTACAATCAGCGCCAAGCAAAAATCAGATAAGGCTAAATTTCCAACCAAAAGGTTGGGAACTGTTTGAAGACCTTTATTTTAATTAATTTTAAATATTTTTTGAAGAAATATAAAAATACGTGGATTTTTATAAAGCACAATAAAAACTAGAAAGTTTGCTAAAATTGTCCACAGCACCAAAAGGAATAAAGCTGAGGCCTAGGAAATTTTTTTTTAAAAAATTTTCGAAAATTTTTTTTGGAAATTTCAAAATCACTTTAAGAATATCTGCCAATAAAAATTTTTGAGAAGAAATAAATTTTAAAGAATTATTATTTAAATTATCTCCAATAAAATCATTTCCGGTTGCTATAATATTTAAAGGTAATTGAACCATTGTTTATTTATGTAGTTATTTTATTCATTTATTTTAACTAAATTAAAAAAAGTTTTTGAATAATTTAATTAATTTTTTGGATTAAAGACCACCAATAAATAAATAATAATTATTGGAGGTAATGATTAATAGAAAAAATCTTTCTTAATGTAGAATAACGAGAAGTACCTGGATTTAACGAATCATTTAATGTTTCCTCAGTTTTGGTTCCAGATGGTTCTAAATTTGGGCAGTCCATCGTTTCGGAACCTAGAAAAACAGTCACAAATTAACAAACGGTCACAAATAGTCGCTCCCCATGTTCTAGATTCCAAAACGATGGATTGCCAAAATTTAGAACCGCCTGGAACAGGGCTACACGCAATTCAAAAAAAAATTCCGCAACTCGCAATTGCAAAACCCCCGCAATTTACGCAATCCGCAACTCCCAATCCGCAATTGTGTGCAGCCCTGGTCTGGAACCAGAACTGAAGTGACAGTTAAATTTTTTGGAATTGCAAGCTTATTTTATTCAGTAAAATGAATTCTTTGAATTCAAGTTTTGTTTGGTATTAAAATATTTTTTAGTGAGAGATTTCCTATTAAAATCAAAAAAAATCCTTAAAATAAACTTTATGTAAATTTTCCTGTTTTCTTAATTTATTCCAAGTACACTACACTCTACTACCACATTAATGACGGAATTAATAAAATATTCTAAAAATAATTTATTCGAAAATATTTTTAAATAAAAGTCCAAAGGAGGAAGTATTTATTTATTTTTGTTTTATTCTCCTCCTATTAGACATGTAAAACAATTTTAAATAAAGAATTTATATTTGGAATAAATGACGGATTTATAGGCACGCAACGAATTTTAGAATAATTTTTATTTTGATGAAAAACGTGGCCAATGGGTTGAATGATGGTCAAGGCCTAGATTTTCGAAACAGAGTTCAGTTCGAAATATTTATTAACTTTCTTGGCCAAATATGAACAAAATTTTTCCTAACTTTAGTCAAGTCTTGCGAACCATAATATATGTATACTACAGGGTGATTTAAAATTAACAAGCACAACGTTATTCAAATTAAAGACAATGAGGTCAAATAAAAATATATGATAGAGAATTAAATAAGGAACAACAATAAGCAAGAATTCTCAAAGTGCCCATCTTTTACCTGGATACAAAGTCGAATTTTGGGCAATAGTTCCTACCACCTCGATTTGAGATTTTCTCTCATTCCCGAACTAGTTATTCCCGAAGCGACTCCAAATTTTTGGGGTATTGAGCTCAGACCCTTGTTTCCTAAGACAATCAAAAAGATTAGCCATCGGATTCAAATCCGATAAGCAAGGTGGCCATCCTTGAGAGGCGTTAAAGTTGGATAAATTAGCTAAGGAAAAAGGTATGCTGTTTCCACAGTCTGCTTTTTAGAAGTCGGCGTTCATCCCTGAATTCTAAAAAATTAGCATTCAAAAACCAAAACAATTTTGGCGTTTTTGCGCAAAATTTTAGCTTATATTCTTTCACATTATTTTAGAAAAAAAGGGATAAAAAGGAGTGAAAATAACAAGCATATAGTAATTTATTTTTAAATGTTAAGCAAAAAATGGAAGATTTAAAACTATTATTTCTGTCTCTAATATTTTTTAAAAAAGTATAAAGTATTTATTTACTGCTAATTTGGGATTATGTATGTTGAGGGAAATATATCATTTATTTTTAAAAGCAAAAAAAGGCTAACTAAATTTCTTTAATTAATTTAAAAATAAAATGAAGAAAATCAATAGAAAAAAATTTGAAATTATTAGATTTTGAGGGGTATATGTACTTAGAAGAATAAGGAAACCAAAAAGGAATACCTTAAAGGAGTAAGGATAAAGGTACAAACTAGAGATGGGCCCTGCCGTATTTAAAAAAAAGGAAGGTTAAATGAAAGATGAATCTTATCCTTGTTATCTTAATCTTATCTTATCCCTGGTTCGGGAGCAGGCCCTTCAAAATAGTAAAATCCGGGACGCCTTGGTATGGTTCGATGCATCTCGACGAGCTGAATCGAAGTATATCAGGTCGTCCCGGATACGACTATTTTCAACGAAGTTATAGCTCTGCGGTACGCTGGCCTTGCGGTACGTTGGGGTGTACCCCCTGGCTCAAACAATTATCGTTTCAAGTCGAGCCGTTTCGAGATATTTTAGAGCGATATCGATATCCTATACAAACGATATCCTATCCATTACGAAGGAATGGATTGGATCAGTTTGGCATTTAAATTATTGAGAGAAATACTCTCAATAAAAGATTTAAATAAATATTAAAAATAAAAAATAATTAAAAATTAAAAATAAAAATAGATTTGCTGGTCATTAAAAAAAGAATTTTTTCAAAAAAAAATTTAAAAAAAAAATAAAAAAAAATTTCTAATTTAACGTATAAAAATGTACATAAATTGTTTTATTTTTCTCTCCCTCACACATTAACTTAAAAAAAAGAAAATTAAAACTGTGCCACTTTTATGGAAGCAATTAGCTTTAGGCAAAAAGGAATGACAAAGTAAAACAATAAAAAAAACTTTTTTCCAACAGTTTTAGAATTGGGGAGTATAAAAACAGGAAAATAAAACTTTAAAAATAAAACTTGAATAAAATTAAAAAAAAAGTTGGTTAAATAAAACTTGAAATATATGATTTAAAAAATAAACTTGGAGAAAGAAACTTTAAATATGTAAGCTTGATAGAATAAAGACTTGGATAAATAAACCTGAAATACAAACTTGGGTAAATTAAAGTTGGAAATACAAAACTTGAATTTAAACTTAAAATTAAACTTGAAAATAGGAAAAACTTTAAATAAAAATAAAAACTTGAAAAAATAAACTTGAATAAATTAAACTTGAATAAATTAAAGTTGAAACTTGAAGAAAATAAACTCTAAATTAAAAGTACAACTTGAAAAGAAAAGATTTTTAAGTTTATTTTTCTTCGGTAAATGTAGGCAATTAAAAGAGTAAAAAAACAAACAGGAATAAGGTCAATAAAAAGAACAAAAATAACCGGAAACTTGAAAAATTCAAAAAAGATTTTAAAGGAAGAAAACTTAAAGGAAAAAAATAAAAAATTAAATCGGGAATTAAATTCTAGATTTTTTTTTGATATTTCCGGATAATTTCCGGATAAAAATCACGAAAATTCTGCTTGGAATACGATCCGGTTCAAACTCTAATAATTAAAAATATCGGAATTTATATAGATAATTTAGAGATCGTTGTTAGTTGAAAGACCTCTCAATTTCATTGGAGCTTTGGGTGGGGATGAAAAAATAAAGCAACAGGGCCGATAAAATAAGAGTGTGGTTGCTGGTTAGGTGACCTCCCAGTCCCAACTTTTCTCCCATAATTGAAGAAAATAGGGTAAATTAATAAAAACCGTTATAAAATTCAAAAATAAATTAAAAATTCACAAATCCTCCCAAAAAAATTTAAAAAAATAAATTTAATTTAACGTTAAATACTCTTCTCATTTTCTTCCAGTATTTTTTAATTGTTTTTAGAAAAGTTTAGAGAAGAGCGGAAATGTTTGTTTTCTCTGGAAATGACAAGAAGACGAGAAAAGAAAAAAGAAAAACAAATTTTTGTCACCTTATTTGTCACGCAATTTCTTTTATTTTATAGAAAATGGAAGAAGCTACAACTATAGAAATTGGTGGGTGGTCTAGAAGAGAGGGGGGGTTTTTTTTAATTTTTTTTTTGAAAATTAGGAAAAAAATTTTTATTTAAAAATTAATTGAATTTTTACATTAAAAATAATAAATTATGGTAATCTAGTTCCCTAAATTTTGCACTTTTTTATTTTAATCGTAGTGTGAGGACGAGATATTTGAGGATTAATTAGGTATAAAGTAGGTGATAAAAATGATAGAAAGGAGTTAATTTCAGAAATATAAGCTACCGTATATGCTCGAATAATTACCCTGGGTAATTATTGTTTCAATCTCTCGCTAGACGGGGTAATTAATTGAGAAGGGGCAATTATTTGAGAGAAGGTAATTATTCGAGCATATACGGTAGTGATATTAAATTACAAATTTATGGCAGAAATAGTTTTGGCGAGGCAACGCAAGGGGGAATAATTGCTTCAGCATCGCTTATAGGGGCAATATTCCTTCTTAAGCATTGAGAATTCAGGAAGATCAAGAGCAGCGGTAAGTCGGAATTCTAATTTCCGATGCCTTCCAATTTCCGAAAAAAAATTTAATTTCAGAGTTCCGACACCCCTGACTGTTTCGAACACCTCTGATCAAGAAGACAATTTTCTTCTTTTTTTAGCAACCGACTTTTGAATGCCCGGACTTTTTGTTTAGGATATCAGGAACTGCCAACCCTATTTATAGAATCTACAAGAATCCAATGACATTATTTTAAATTCTAAAATAAAATTGATGCGGGAAAGAAATAAGACTAATAGCTAAATTATTAAATTTTATTATTTAAAAAATTCTTATTTTTTTATTCGAAAAATTAAATACTAACTAGTAAGCTAAAGTTTTAAGAAAATTGTTTAACATTAAAATTAAATTAATTTTAATTATTTTACAGCAAATAAAATAATTTTTAAATTTAATATTAAGCAAAAAAATAAAATTTAATTAAAATATATGAGAGAGAGAAAGTCATAAGAATGAAATAATTTCCCCCAAATTAAAAAAAGGAAATTTCCCTTAAAAATTTTATAATAAATTTTGTAAAATCTCAGTTTTGTCCCAAAGAAAAATTTTTTCCTTTAAAAAAGATTTTGCCCAGTTTTAGTAAAAAATAAAATTTCTGGACAAAACGCGCGCCAGTCAACCATGGATATGAACACCTCTTCCCCTTCCAAACATTATTATAACATTCTCTTCCTTAAACTGTGTGGAAAGTCTAAATGAGAGGAGGAGGAGGTGAAAGGAAGGAAATGAGAGAGAGAGAAAGAAAGGGGAATCGATGGGTTAATGAAATTCCCTGTCCTTTTTTATTTCTTGGGGCGCTCAAGCTAAACTTTTGTTAAGTAAAAAAAGAAAAGGGAGGCTTATTAGCATCATTTGACACTGCGACTCTTTTAAAAGTAAAAAAATAAAAGAAAAAAGTGCCAGAATTGTAGAAAATGAATAAATTGCGCGAGTCTAAGGATTTGCATAATTATAGTACGATTAGTAGTAGTTATTCTCAGCCAAGTAAGAATATATGAAGACAGCTCTGGTTGGAACCCAACCTTTCGAGGTGAAAAAAACACACCTTCGAGGAAAATTTTTAGAATTTTGGAAGGTCACAGTCAGATTTCTCTCTTTCTTTCTAAAGAATCTGTATTATGTTATATGGCAATTGTAAAAAAAGGGGAGAAAACAGGTGAAAAAGTAAAAAAAATGAAAATCTTCTATTAAATAGGGTAAAACGGATACTCTGAATAGTAGTCAACCAACAGCCAACCTAAAAGTAGATGGAAAACCGGCAAAGAACTGCACACTAGCAGAGATGTTAGTGTTGTGGAGTTTGTCTTAATTTAAGTCTCGAAGTGTTAGTGATGCAATTCAGTGAAGTTCAGTCATTGGGACAGTGTTGATACGTTAATGTAGTGCTGCAATGGACTTCTCTAACAAGGGAACATTTCGAACTGTGAGTAAAAAGTTCGAAATAAAAGTTATACCATCGTGTAGAGCATCGTCGAAAACCTTTATGGTTTCCGGCTTTTTCGGCTCCGACCCCCATTTCGAAAAGTTATAGGTCTTCAAAGTTTTCGATTTTTGGAGCGGTTGAGTCGCCCTCACTTTTCTTATTATTTGTTTTACCAAAGAGAAAAATGAGACTCCTTTTCTCCATTTTTCCTTTCTTCTTCTTTTCCCATGTCGGTTAAAGAAAGAGAAAAAGAGGAGAGGAAAGAAAAGGAAAAGAGGCATGTCTGCCATCTCCTCTTTCCTTTTTAACGTATCCCCTCAAAATCTCTATTCCTTAAAATCTCTACTGGGGTAAAATGCCTTATAATCTCTACAGAACTAAAATGCATTAAAATCTCTACTCGGCTAAAAATGATTAAAATAACTATTCCTTAAAATCTCTATTCCTCATAATCTCTACACGGTAACATACCTTAAAATCTCTACACGGCCATAAATAAGATAAAATGTCTATTTTTCATTGGAAGCCTTTTGAGTACCAACGTTAAGTGCGGAAACGTTGTTCTGATTTCTGGGATTATCTTTTAATATTATTTTGCTTGTATAGTTTTTGCCGTTGCTGATTAACCCAGTCATGTCCAGCGGAACGACAGCAGCCGCTTCGATACGATCGCCGCAAGCAAAATGAACACGACTGCAGTGAAGCAGTCGTGTAGTATATCTTCGATATTTACGGCGGATACAGGCGGATATCCGCCGCCATTTTGAAATTGTATCCATATCCGTATCTATTACCAAGTCTGGTTTTTCCAGCAAAAGATTCAGATGGTACACTTTAGTTGAGACTCAACCGTCCATTTGCGCGGTGTAGAGATTTTAATTATTATTACCCCAGTAGAGATTTTAAGGAATAGTTATTTTAAGGAATAGAGATTTTAAGCATTTTTAGCCTAGTAGAGATTTTGAGGAATAGCGATTTTAAGGAATAGAGATTTTGTATGGGAGCCCTTTTTAATTGACATTAGCTGCAAGGCAGAGATGCCTCTTTTCCTTTTCTTTCCTCTCCTCTTTTTCTCTTTCTTTAACCGACATGGGAAAAGAAGAAGAAAGGAAAAATGGAGAAAAGGAGTCTCATTTTTCTCTTTGGTAAAACAAATAATAAGAAAAGTGAGGGCGACTCAACCGCTCCAAAAATCGAAAACTTTGAAGACCTATAACTTTTCGAAATGGGGGTCGGAGCCGAAAAAGCCGGAAACCATAAAGGTTTTCGACGATGCTCTACACGATGGTATAACTTTTATTTTGAACTTTTTACTCACAGTTCGAAATGTTCCCTTGTAAGTGGTCACGAGATACTTATGAAAAAGTGAAGGTAACAGACTTTTGGGTAAGCAGTGCGACGAGCCTTCCTCTACAGGGAAGGCGCCTTCCTCTACAGGGCTTTAGAAAAAGTGTAGTGGAGTCAGTAAAGTATAAAAACCACTGTGTCAATCTAGCTGGACAATACTAGTCCGGCTAGTCACTGATCTCCTTCGTCTTTTCTAGTTCCAATCCCTTCGCCTACACATTGTGTTGGGTACCGGCTTAGTATAAAAGCCTTCCTATTATTCAGTCGCGGTCTTAGTCTTATTGTCGCAGTGTTATTCTATTCTGTCTCCACCTATTCGGCGTTTAGCCATATTCTTATTGTACACAACCTATTGTATTTAGTATTGTAGATAAAGCACAGTTGTGAGTTACTGTCTTATCTTGTTATTCTTTGTTAGTAAGTAAACATACAAGTCACGTACATAACACATTGTACATTTCAAATTTTCGAATTAAAATAATCCCTCTACAGGGCTTTAGAAAAAGTATAGGCAAGTAAATCCGAACCCCTAATCAAATTCTCGAATTAAAATAATCCCTCTACAGGGCTTTATAAAAAGTATAGGCAAGTAAATCCGAACCCCTAATCAAGTTTTCGAATTAAAATAATTCCTCTACAGGGCTTTAGAAAAACTATAGGCAAGTAAATCCGAACCCCTAATCAAATTTTCGAATTAAAATAATTCCTCTACAGTTCTTTATGTATATGTGTTTAGGAATACCACGCGCTCATGTATCAACTACTCGTCTCATCATTGACGAGGTTACACAAACAAGTTTCTCAATGGTGGTTCACCTCTTTGCAAATTACTACTTGTCCGATCCGTTTTGCTCATTGGAGATATATGAAGCTCGGCACGCACTTAAAAGAACTCTCTGAAGTGATTCAAAATGGTTACAATGGAAAAATGCGACAGAGTACCAGTCACAATTTTGGGAAGATGCTACCGCTCGCATACCATTGTAACTGAATGCTTCGACCATTCGTCATACGAAAAACACGGCGAAACAGCCATCGCAGCAGTTCCCGCAGCAAAACGCACAGGATTAACTCCGGTAAACGACGTTCCACTCATACTTCTAAATGTAAGAGGAACGATCGAACAAGACGTCGCATCATACTCGCTATCTTCACCAGAACAACTGAGGCAGCGACTACCATTGCAAAAGCGCTGGAGGACCGAGATCCTCAAAGTGTTGCCATCATTTATCTTTATACGTTCCAATGCGAAAGAATAAGAGAAAGACTCCAACAAGAAAATCTACAAGTAATAGTGAACTCTGTAGATGCTTTTCAGCCGCGAGCACCGTTTAATCATTCTTGTGACAATTTCTTTCACCTCTATAGCAAAACCATTGTTGGTGAACGCTATTTGGAAGTTATGGAAAATGAAGAACCAACACGCGACTCGAATGGAGTAATCAATGATTTAAAAGGAAGGTCGGTTGAAGATAAAGTGGAAGAAGTCAAGCTAATACGTGGCGGTGAATTAAGAACAGGAAGAGGACTAATTATTTGCAACAGATGTGGAAATCTCTGACATTTGGCAAGAGATTGTAGACGAAGATGAGAAAGGAAGAAGTTAAAGACTGGAGGCACAGGCTTGGGGCACATGGTAAAGCTGTAAATTGTGGTGTGTTTAAAAATAAAATGAAAAATAAAATTAGAAATTTGGGAAATTAAGTAAAGACCAGGGGACGGTCTCCCACTAGGTTGGAGGTGTAAACCTTGATCCGGCCGGGCAAGGATGGAAAAAAAGGAACTAGTCCCGCTGGGAAAGGATTGAATCAGGGGAGGAGAATGACAAATAAGACCATAGGATAAAACTAAGTGGAGAATTGTGGAAAAGCGATCAGTCGACTGGATCGCAGTCATAAAAAGTGAATAACCAGTCGAAGAAGCTAAGAGCTTATTCATTGATAATTCGTTGCAAGCGCATAATTCCCGGGCAAGTCGGTCTCGTAACCGACCAGCAGCACCGGACGCATAGAAAGGCCTACCATCCTCTCCGCAAATACTCAACGGCATCGCCTCTCAGGACTTTAACATCGCACGTAACCAACCCTAATCCCAATACAATCCTGGCCCAGCACTAGCTTTACTACATTTATGAATCTAAAAATCTTAAGAGTTCGACTAAATCTTAATTTACATTTTTACTTAATTTATTTTACGACCATATTAACCAAATTTGAAAATAAATATTACAAAACAGAATAAAACAAAAAATATATTTTATATATCAACACAAACAAATTTTCATTTCTTCAAATTTTTAAGCGGGAAGTTGAATGGTGCTCCTGAAAAATTATTAAAAATTTAAAACAAGAAACTGATTAAGGAAAACTAGATATACTCAATTTAAAATAAATTTCTAAAAATTTAGTAAAGTTAACCCACAACGCAAGCCCCTTTTCCCCCATTTCGTATGGGCCAGGGGGTAGGAGGCACAGAAAAATATTCCCTCCTTGCCCCCCCCCCTTAAAAAAAATCCTTGCTACGGGCCTAGTTGAGTACTCTCGCAAAACTTGTCTAAATTAAATAAAATCTACTTTTGTTGGACCACTTTGCTAACATAAAGATAGAAGAAATCGGCATATAAAACAGTTTGAACAATACCAGCAACCAAAGCAATAATGTCCAAAAAATCTTCTAAATTTCAAAATTTTAAAAATAAAAAAAAATTCCAACCCATATAATAACGATAAACCCAATTGAGAATATAAAGACCACGATAAATACCTAGAAAAATTGTTTTGAATTAAAAAAAAATATTTAAACCTAGAGCAAAAAGATAATGTGCAGTTATAGTTTCTGCCGATCCTGTTTTTGATAGCATAAAAAGCTGGGGCATAATAGCAACCGATTCAAGGTAAATACTGAAAGTCCAAAGCACCTGAAAAATAAAAAAGGAATATTTTTCATTAAAAATATTTAAATTATTTATTTATCTGGAATAGTTTGTCTGCATAGCCAAAACAAAAAAAACCTTGATACCCGAAAGCTTTGAATCGGTTTTGATTCCGAATAACCGGTGATTTTCTTTTTCCTAAAAACTTTTGTGGGAATCTTTTATGGGAAATATATAAGGAAACGAGGTTAAATTGTGGGAGATGTCAAATGAAATTTTTAGAAAAATTCAAATGAAAACCTCAAAAAAGGAAAAGTCGTGGTTGATTAAAAGTGCCAAAACAAAACTGGGGAGAACAAGGAATTCAATTCGACAAGTATCGTGATTTCTAAAATTAGATTTAAAAGATTAGAGCCTAAAACTGGCAACAAGAAACTAAAAAATACCTATCAAAAGTGGCTCTAAATTTTTGATAAATGAAGTAAACTGTTGCTACTGACGAAGAAATGAAGAATAACTAGAAAATTCAAATAAAAAATCTTTTATTTTCCCAAAAAAACCTTCATAACAGTATTATAAATTGACACAAAATTTGTAAAAATGTCCAAATAACGGCACACAAAAACTAACAAAAATAAAACTTGGGACCTTCCAGAAAGGCCTAAAAAGTATTTAATTTTTAATTATTTATTCAAAAAATAACCTGCACAGGATCTTGTTTTCCATATTTTCCATAGCAAAATGAGAATTGCTACCAAATGAGCTAAATCAGCTGATAAACGAAAAATGTTCATTTCATAATTATTTTGCTAAAAATTTAAAAAATTGGGTAATCCTTAAGATATTGGTCCCTAGAAAAAATTAGTAAAAAATGCTCCTTCAATATTCTTGAGGCTTACAGTAAGTAATCGAGGATGTTGAGTCTAGGGATCAATGATCTTAAGGATTACCAAAGATTAGGTAGAAATAAATTTGTTTAATTGAATGAGGAACGGTTTTAAATAATAGAGAAATTGGTGAACGGAGGGAAATTTGACTTGTTCTTTTAAAAAACCTTGACCTTGATTTTGTCTGAGGACCTTGACCAGACTCTTGACAAGTCAAGAAAAAATCGAGAGAACACTAAAAAATGACTTGATCATAATCCAGGAAAAATTAAAGTCTAGATTAGAGATCGAGCTGGGAGTGAACAAAGGCCTGGATTTTTCCCGTACCCAGAGTCCAGAAACATCCGACCCAGGTCAATAAATCAACCCGGGAGCCCAGGAAATGGCCTAGGCTTATCAAAAATCTCGATCTCTAGTCTGGATCCGATACCGTCCGATCTCGACAAAAAATCTGGTGAAAATTCATAACAGAAGTCATGAGAAAGAAAGAACACGATAGCTAAAAAATAATAAAAAACAAAAAAGTTCCAACCCAAAAATGCAAAATCTCGAAAAACTTTTTTTTTGTTTTTGCAAAAATAAACAACAGAAAAAGCGAAATATAAAGGACGAGACAGTGAAACGTTTACAATTTTTGGCATAAAATTTAAAAATATTTTGGCATTCTGTATTTAATTTCTGCGGGTACGGCCCACCTTGTCGCGGGCCACCTTGTCGCGACCACCTTGTCGCGACCACTTTGTCGCAGGCCACCTTGTCGCAGGCCCACCTTGTCGCAGGCCACTTTGTCGCAAGCCTTCCTTTGATTTTCCTTTTAAGTTTGGCTTAAACTTTGCTCGCCACGTGCCGTACTTCATCCCACGGCTACAACGATGGGAATTTGAATAGGTTTAGAATTTTTGTTTTGTTTTTTAAGTTTTTGGTTCTTTTTTTAAAATTTTTTAGTTGATTTCCATCAGTTTCTGACTGTCAATTTTCAAGTTCGAAGTTTCTGAAGGAACGAATGTGTTGAAATTAGGAAAACATCGACAAGAAAAACAAACCCAAACTGCCCTGCTTAGGGTCACAAATTTAATTAGTAAAGCGCGACAATGGTTTTTTTAAATTTTTTTTGATAAAGTTTTTAAGTGTTTTTTTCCTTTTATTACTTTCTCTTGTCCGGGTAAAGTCTGCCGGAGTTTTAACAGAGTAAAACCGAACCAGATTACTCCAGAAAACCCCGATCTGCCCAGAGGCCCTTTTCCTACTCTCCATGGCAGCTTAAAAAATTTTCAACATTTGCGACAAAGTGGCCTGCGACAAGGTGGCCTGCGACAAAGCGGTCGCGACAAGGTGGCCCGCGACAAGGAGGGCGTGTCCCAATTTCTGCATATTCTGCTTGTCAATAAACTTTTTTGTCTTTTACTTACAACCGCACTGCAAATCTTTACAAAAAGCGAAAAGTTTTTTTTCATTTTTTGTTAGAGCATGTAGGAATTTAAGTTTTGTGATTATGATTAATATGTAGATGATACATAATATTTGCACAAACTCGTTTATCTTTCCAACTTTTATTTGTCTAACATATTTTGTTATCATTTAAAAGTAAAAATCCATAAATAAACCTTTTTATAGAAAAGCTTATTAGTTTTTTTAATTGATTAAGGCGGAAAGCATTTAGAGATTGTTTTCAATAAAGGAAGGGTTAAGTGTCGAATCTCAATCAGGGCTGGACGCAATTGAAAAAAATTTTTCGCAGACGAATTCCGCAAGTCAAAAAACACGCAATCCGCAACTGCGTCCAGCCCTGATCCCAATGCTGGAAAATAACATTTTTAAAATCAGGTAGTGGAAAATAGCCCCTAATCTGCCTTTTTCACTTGTAAACAATCCATTTTCCATAAAATAAATTTTATGCTTCCTATCTGTATTTTGTTCAATTTAAAAGCTTTCTGTATTGTTTTTAAAGTGTATTTTTCTTTCAGATAACCTTAACTTTTCTCATTCAACTTATTCAAAATGTCCATATCAACAATTCGAAGACAGGTGAAAAACGTGGCCTTGAATTATACAAATGCACAGGTTAAAGTGCGAGAGGCTACGAGGTTTTCTTTAAACTTTAACTTATTACTAATAAATTTCTAGCAATGATCCATGGGGTCCAACAACAGCATTAATGTCAGAAATTGCTGATATGACACACGATCCAATTCAATTTAATGAAATAATGTCAGTTATTTGGAAGAGGCTGAATGACCATGGAAAGAATTGGAGACATGTAAATTTTGAGTGGAGTTTGTGGCAATCCAGGAGAATTGGGGTCCCTGCGGAAAAAAATCTTAAAAATAAGAAAAAGGATTTTTCTAGGGTAAAAAAATATGTTGATTACGAATCTGAACTCGGATTTTGGAAAAGTCGAATCCCGAACCCGAAATTCAGATATTTGACATTTTGGGTAAAATTCCGAAAAATAAACAGAGCGTAAATTGGTCAAATAATATCTCATTCGAAAGAGCTCTTCAAGCTGAGTCGAATGACATCGAAATCATCGCAATTGATCAAGATCAGGCGAAGTTATGACACAAAAAACATAGGCCTACGTTGTTTGTTTTTTGTGGTATAACTTCGTCCGATCTTGTTCAATTACGGTAATTTCGGTGTCATTCGACTCAGCTTGAAGAGCTCTTTCGAATGAGGTATAATTTGCATATTCGAATTTTTCACCCCAAATCAGCTTGGTCCCCCCTATGGGTTTTTGATATTCGAGGACCTATATTCGGGTTCGGATTCGACTTTTTCAAAATCTGAGTTCAGATTCGTAATCAGCGTACTTTTTTACCCTAGAAAAATCATTTTTCTTATTTTTAAGATTTTTTCCCGCAGGGACCCCAATTCTCCTGGATTGCCGAGTTTGTTTTTTATTTTTCAAAATTTAGGTCTACAAAAGTATGGTTCTTCTTGACTATTTAATTAAATGTGGAAGTGAACGAGTTGCACAACAATGCAAAGAAAATATATTTTCTGTTGAAACATTAAAGGTTTTCTATTTTTTGGAGTGTGTTTTGGGGTGTTTTAAAATTTATTTTTATCCCCATGGTTCATATTTCAGCTTTCAAGTCCTAGGAGGAGAGACAATCCTTTCAGGTCTAATTGTTAGGCTTTTTATGTTCGGATTATTTTTGAACAATTAGAAACCTTGTATTTTATCTACTTAATTTTCATTTTTTAAAATCTATGACAAGATCCTCTATCCTAAGCTCAAGGATTTATTCTAATTAGGGTTGGAGTTCTGGCCAACGTTCAACTCATTTTTTCTTGCCTCATTTTTATCGGATGGCCCGACCGAGTCTTTTTCTTGCCAAAATTTGATGCCGACTCGACTCTAGTTCTAATTGAGAAAATTTTTCCTATTCTTAAAATCAATGTCTTTTTATTTTTCTATGTTTCTTTTATTATTTCATTAAAATATTTTTCAGGATTTTCAACACATTGAAGAAAATCGTGATCAAGGTTTAAATGTCCGAACAAAAGCAAAACAAATGGTTGCCCTCCTAACTGACGACGAAAAACTAAAAAATGAAAGAGCTCGTTTTATGTTAACTCGGAAACGTTTTATGAATAGTGAAACTTCTGGAATTTCCTCTGACGGAACGAGAAGAGCTGGGACAAGTCGTAGACGAACAATCGATTCTAATGGCGGACCTGTCGATCCAGAATTTGAAGAGGCTAGGCCTTCCTCTTTGGGCGAAGAGGAAATGCAATTGCAAATTGCTTTGGCACTTTCTAAAGAAGAATGTGAAAAAGAACAAGAAATGAGACGTGGGGATGATGTTCGATTACAGGTTTGAAAATTAAGGGAGGGATTCTTTTGGGAATTTTTATCGAGTCTATAACTGCTGTTAAGAGCTTTTTAACAGCCTTGAACCCTTTTTAGACTTTTCAAGAATTTATATTTAAGATAGCGATTGAAGAAAGCAGACGTGAGATGGCGGCAAGATCTTCTAGCTTGAGTTCTCCCACAGGACAAGATTCACCACAAAAGCCGAGCACCTCGAAATCACAGGTTGTTAACATTTTGCAACTGAAGGCAAGGGCGTAGCCAGAGGGGAGGGGCTTCTGGGGCTATAGCCCCTCCCCCTGAAAAGTGGAAAATGAAAAATTTTAGGAGGGAAATGCTGGCTACGCCCTTGACGACATAAGGAGGGGAGAGTAGATAAATTTTAATTCAAAAAATTTTTATTTTTAAGGGAGCTCTAAACAATTTACTTTCGCTCGGTCTAGACGAAGTTTTTAGCAAAACAGCAGAGAATAACGCACTAATAAATATGCAACAGCCTGTTCAGAACGATCCCTGGTCTCCTCGTCCATCAACAACAATTCCAATGATGGCTGGAGGGATAGCTCCACCATCCCTTCCATTTAACGATTCTACTTTAATTCCTTCATCTGCTCAAAACGATCCTTGGGCAGCCCCAACAGTTCAACCTGTAACGACTACAAAACTTCCAACAACCTCAGAAAGGTCCCAAGAATTGGAAGATATTTTTGGATGTTCTTCCCAAACAACATTAAATCAACCTTTACCTTTGGCACCGAATAATGATCCGTGGGCGGCTTTTGAAAATCAAAATATGCAAAATAACAGCACCCCGACACAACAAAATGGGACAAAAATTGGACAACAACGTAACAAAATAAAAACACCTGAATCGTTTTTGGGAGGTTATTTTTTTATAAAAAGATTTTTTAAAGAAATTATGTTTAATATTTAGAAAATTCTGGTCTAGTCAATTTGGATAATCTTCTTGGACCAACTGGTTCTCAAGTTCCTAAAAAGGGTATACTTTTTGATGTTTTTTAAAAATTCGTTTATAAAAGCTGGGGCATGCTTATTTATTGTTAGATTTGGGCTAGCCGAGCCTTTCGAAAAATTTTCAAGTTTTTTGTCTTTGGCTAATCCAAACCGCTTTAATCCGATTTTTTTCACACGTTTAACCAATCAACCAACATTGGGACAACGTTAGCCTGCGGTTTCCTAGTAACTTAATTATATTTGGAGATTGGACCGAAGACAAGATTTGTTCCAAAATCTCAGTTATTGAGAAGGGTGCCGGAATTTTCGTCTCTGGAAATTTCGTCTCCAAGACTTTTCGGAACTTTCGTCTCCAACATTTTCGGAATTTTCGTCTCCAGCGGAATATTCGTCTCCAATGAAATAAACGGAATATTCGTCTCCGCAATTTTCGTCTCCGCTAGGAATTTTCGTCTCCAGAGAAAAATTACCTGTTGACGGAATAACATCCCCCGTTGACGGAATAACATCCTCCGTTAACGGAACAACATCCTCCGTTAACGGAACAACATCCCCCGTTGACGGAACAACATCCCCGTTAACGGAACAACATCCCCCGTTGATGGAACAACATTCCCCGTTAACGGGACAACATTCCCCGTTAACGGGACAACATCCCCCATTGACGGAACAACATTCCTCGTTAACTGGACAACTTTCCTTGTTGCCGGAACACATCATTTTTCCTCTGGTCCGTCAACGGGTAATTTTACTCTGGAGACGAAAATTCCTAGCGGAGACGAAAATTGCGGAGACGAATATTCCGTTTTCTTCCGTGGAGACGAATATTCCGTTTTCTTCCGTGGAGACGAATATTCCGCTGGAGACGAAAATTCCGAAAACGTTGGAGACGAAAGTTCCGAAAAGTCTTGGAGACGAAATTTCCAGAGACGAAAATTCCGTACACCATTGAGAAAGGGATCGATACTGAATTTTGATCAATCCCCAAGTTAAATCTCTAATTATAAGTAGGGTTGCCGTTTTTGAGTCGGGCTGACGTTCGAGTCCTTTTTTCGGGCCTCATTTTTAACGAGTTCAAGATCGATGCATCTGTCCTTTTCGTGCCAAAATTCGATGCTGGACTCGATCTTTCGGACCAGACTGATAACCCTAATTATAAGGTTTATGTATTAAAATTTCTAATATTAACTTTTTTTAGCCACAAACCCTTTCCTAATCGGCTCTGCCGCTTCAGCTGCCGCAGCAACTAAAAACAATCCATTTCTTGCAAATGAACGTCCATCCCCTTCGCTCAACGAAATGTTACAGGCTAAACAAGGTGGTGGGGGTTTTGTAACAAATGGTGGAAATATTTCTGGACAAACTACTGCTCCAAGTAATTCTGCACCGAATAATGCTTTTAATGCGGCTGGTCTAATTTGAAGAAATAATGAATGAGAAGATGAGTGTTTGGCTGTACTGTAGTGTAGCACCCACTCCAAAAATTTTCAAAACACATATCATTCGATTCGTCTCGGCGAGCTGAGTCGAATGGTACCACTCTCTTTCTGCGGAAATGCCTAAGAGCTGAGATATAGGGCTTTAAAAATCGAAAAACCAAAGAGGGGACCAAGCTGATTTTTGGGGTCAAAAATTCGAATATGCATATGGCAGCTCATTCGAAAGAGCTCGTCGAGCTGAGTCGAATGACACCAAAATTAACGAAATCCGACTTGATTTGACAAAGTTATGAGCATTTGTTTTAGCTCCTTACCTTTGGGCTACGGGCAGGATTTTCTTGCTCGGGAGGAAGCCAGACATGCCGACCGCAGCTAAAATAGGCATAAGTTTATGTTACGAGCCCAGACCCAGCGCCCGTAGACTCCCCGCGAGGCGCGTGCCGCAAAACTCCGCGCGAAGCGCGGAGTTTTGCACAAGCGCCTCGCCGACGCCCCATAGGTTTATGTTGCTTGTTTTTGTGTCGTAACTTTGCCTAATCTTGTTCAATCACGGTGATTTTGGTGTCATTCGACTCAGCTCGATGAGCTCTTTCGAATGAGCTATCATTTGCATATTCGAATTTTTGCCCACAAAAATCAGCTTGGTACCCCCTATGGTTTTTGACCCTTTCGAGCTCTATATCTCAGCTCCTAGGCATTTCCGCAGAAAGAGAGTGGTACCATTCAACTCAACTCGTCGAGACAAATCGAATGGTATGTGTTTTGAAATTTTTTGGAGTGGGTGCTGCACTACAGTATATCCTGTTTAAATTAATATTGGTGGTTTTAAAAGGAATTTCGAGTCTAAACTTTTGAGTCTCTTTTGTGGTATTTTGAGCTTGAGTTTTCATTTTAATTGAGTAGGCCATGAAAGTTTTTACTAAGGAAATTGGTCTCGATCGGCTCTAATATGTATTGAACTAGAGATCGGAAAGAGTCCGTTTCCTTGTTTTCGGGTCCTTTTTCCGGTTTTTTTGAAGCAAGCGGGATGAAACCGGGAACGGGATTTTCCTCCTCCCGGTCAACTTTCAGAACCCGGTTCCCGGACCCGGTTTTTTCAAAATTCCGATCTCTATGTTTGAGCAAAGCAGTTGAGGACTCAAAAGCTAGACTCTTAAATATAATATTTGACAAAATTTTTATTTTCCCATATTTAACTTTCCAAATACCCTCTAATTCTGAGTTCAAAATCCT